CTACACATTCATGCTGGTTCATTAGAGACTGAAATACTAAGTGCTGAAGGCTTTAAATAAAAGGCGCCTCTTTTCCATTGTATTGTAATGGGGACAGAGGTTTCACAAGCCAAATTTCAAAACAGTAGACCAAACTGCAACTATTCTATTCTGTGAGTAGGTAATTATTGGAGGGGAGTCTTGTGATGGTATATTTTTCATTTGCAGAGCCAAACCAACACTGAATGTATCACACTAACAAGTATTGTGTGTATCACAGTCGGATATATCTTCTTCCTATGTGCCATAGAGCACCATTGTTGTCCAAAAACTATTAAAAACACATAAGTGAGCCACACTCAGGCATGATACTGTAGATACAAAATACATCAAAATGTGTTTTAAAATAATATACCAAACACCCTAATTTTAAGTGTATCAAAATAAACTACTGTATTTTTTGTATTTCAAAAATACTAAAAGTACTTGGTACTCCGTGGTACCATGAAATCACTTCACAAACCTGTTTGATCTATCCCTTCAACAGTAACCCAGCTGATTAAGTGGACAATGTTTGAGCAACAGCTTTTCTGTCCTTAATGAGTCATGCAATAAATCTGACAGGCATCCAGTTACCAGATAAAATATTCACATATCCCTGTGATCAACCAGATGAAGGTCAGTTTTGAGGTAACCAACTGTTTAATGTTTAACAGCCTGCTAATGACTCATAACTGTATCCTGATTTAGTTACTTGCTGTTTGGTAATGGAGGGCCTACTTTGAGCTACAACAAACACGAGGGGTGGATGGGTTGACAACCTGCTGTTTCATGGCGTTGCAGCACAACGTTGTTAATGACAATAAGGGACGGGTGTGTGCATTTAACAAGTTACACCATCTTGTGGCCTTATAAAGTGATGCTGTACAACAACTCTAACGTTTTGTGCAAACCGACCAAAACTTGGCCCATCCCTGGCCACACTGTTGCCCTGGGTGACATGTTCTTTCATTACCACACAGTGTAGTTTATTTTGGCTCAATCCTACGTACACCGTCACTGCCACTGGACCATACTGCTGCCCCAGATACTCACTACAGCACCACCTACATCAGAATGCTGTTTGTGGATTTCAGCTTATCATTCAACACAATCGGCCAGATTTCAAACAACGATCACACTTCATATCGGGAGGAAATTCATAAACTTGCAGAGTGGTGCTCTGAGAACACACTATTTCCTCCTGTTCGAGAAACGTTTGATATAAACAACAGGGAGCTGTCTTACTGTGCCTGTTTTAAAAATAAAACTATTTGTGAAGGCTGGTGTTTCCTTACCAAAACTAACAATATGTTAGTCAGCCTTCAATACTAACTTCCTGTTCTTTTTTTTCTGCTTCTTTTCTTCAGTGTTTCAATATGTTATCATATTAACAAACACTTTGAGCTACATTTCCATGGGGTTACCTTTGTGTCTTTATTATGTACTCAAACACAATAGGTTTGAGACTAAAACTATTAACACTGTGTGACGCCCTGTGGGGTCGTGAGTGGGTGTGGTCTCTCTCTCTCTCCCTTGTAGATCAAGAGCTCGTTATGGTAACTGGAAGCCCCTGGGCCCAGTGTCTTTTGAGGCTAGACTATTTGTAACCCTGTCTTTTCATTCTGCAGGAGGCTGCTGTGGAGGCCAGGTCAGGCCTCCCTGCAGGCCGGCTCCCTGGTTTCCCCTTTAGTTTGGTTTTCTTTGGTTGGACTATTGCTTTGTGGTATTTATCTTGTTTTTGCATACTACAATGCCTTCACACATACATTCATGCAACCATCATCCTGCACAGACACTACTGAAACCACAGACTACATACCTGATACTTTAATGTTAGTTTGAAATACCTCTTAATTTGGTGAACTTTGGTTTAAATAAACAAATTTTGTTCAACTTTACCATGGTGTGTCTCCCTTTTGTTGTGGCCTTTTGAGCCAGGTCATAACAACTGCAATCAAAAATGTTTATTGAAAGTAAAATATATCTGTGATAAAAAATGTATTGGTGTGAATCAAAAGTAGTAAAGGATAGAGGGAGTTTTGAATTCCACAGAGAAGACAGAGTGGGTATGTTTACACATAACTCCCATCTTAGTAATAGCATGAATATTATGTTTGAACTGGTGCATGATTGCTTTTGTTTAACAATCTGTGATATTGTAATGCGTTGAAAACAAGTACATCTTATGACACTGAGCTAGTGACTCAGTCATAATAGATCTACTAGTTAGCTACTTGCACTGTTTGTGTTCCGCAATCTAACGTTAGTTATATTGTGATGTGCTGTCCTATTTTATCAGCCTGTAGCCAGATTAGTTAACAACCTGAACCCTATTTTTCCCATGTGTCTATGTGACAAATTGGGACAACATTTTTTTAACCTGAGTATTGAGCGAGTGCGCTACACTCGGCAGCAGCGAAACAAAGCTGTGCCCGTCCACCAAAAAGTGCTTGTTTTTGCCACTGACAAGCCCAGATTATTTTTATAAGATTCTGACAAGATTGTGGAAAGCATCCCTAGAGAGATAGACCTTTTTTTAAAGCATATGATACTTTAGCCAGAAACAGCCACTATCTCTCTTTTCAAGGCCACCAGTCTCCTTTGATAAAAACAGTGTTGGGAGACTTTTGAAACATTTAGCAACATTTTACAATTACTAGCAGTCGGAGTGTCCACAATGGAAACTTTGGACTTCTTGGACTGTGCCATACACATTGAAGAGAACGGCAGCCTCCACATTACAGTACAAACTAGGAGTTATCAGAACCCTACACCACAGAGCATAACATACCAACAAGAGCCCAAGCCCAAGGGAAAGAGTATAAACACCTGAAGGAGGCACTAACAGCTTGTGGATGCCCAAACTGGACCTTTGTGAAAACAGCCACAAAATCCAAGAAGAACACATTTAAATCCAGCAACACGCTAAGACAGATTCTGGTACACCCGAAAGACCACACACTCAAAGACTAGAGAATCAATCAAGTGTATGCTGTCCAGTGCAGTGAGGAATGCACAGACCTGTATATCAGGGAAACTAAACAACTACACACACATATGGCCAGGGTTGGGAGGATTACTTTAAAAATGTAATCCAGTACAATTACTTGTTTAAAAATGTACTCAGTTATGTAATCCAAGTACCACAAAATAAAAGTAATCTTAGCTGATTACTTTTAGTTACTTCTGGATTACTTCAATGCCAAATAGGCAAAGACAAGAGAAGTATCAATGATGTGTTTTCTGCTCAGTGTATTTTTAGAGAAACATACAATACTAACAAAATCTTCCATTCTCATGAAATCAGAATCCATATTTAAATATTTTTATATGATTTGCTTTGCACTATGTCACCACGATGGCAGCATCTCGCCCATCAATGACAAAAAATGTGTTATGTAGGTATTGTTTGTTATTTGGAAAACCATTTTAAAATGTTGATGACTCATTCTACACTTGTATTATTTAGCGTCCAATGAAAAGATTCTCAATGTGACACTGCTCAAGCATAGAGGTTCTGGGGCCGGGCCCCACTGATTACTGTACAAAAACTCCACTGTTTTCACTGATTTTGGTCAAACTGGATCATATTTGATCGAGAAATATGAAAATATGGAGAAAATATATTCTCTGTGATGTTCCCTGGCTGCTCTGCCTCAACTCTGTGATTCACAGAGTTTCCTGATGGACAGATAGCTTTACTTGTTGCTGAAGGTAGAACACTGCCTCATAGACCATCAGGGAATCCAGTACCGGGATGATTTACACAGAGCTTCTTGATGAATAGCTTTACTTTTTGCTAAACCACTAACTGCATCTGTTGCTAGTTAGCAAGTGACTAACCCCCGGGGTGTCAAGAGCCAAACCTGGCAAGAAAACCACCTTCGTACTTTATTCCCAGTGGTCAAACTGGCCTCGGTCGGTCTCGGAGGATGTGCCCAGGACACTGAAGAAACAATCTCATCTGGCCTCATGTGACAATGCCAATGATGGTTGTTCACACTGGGCCTCAGGAGACTCTAATGACCTCAACAACTCTCATTGCAACAGCTAGCAGCACTAATGAACCAGCAGTATCCATCACCATGATCCCCACAAAAGGGTTAAACAGCTGGTACTCAGTGTCAGTCAATTAAAACACAAGAAGCCTTTTGGATGAGAGGCAAAACGTCTTCAAGTATCTTCAATCAAGTGATCGCAATTCTCCCATATTTCTCCTGATTTACACATCTTTCTTTTTTTTTTTAAGACTAAAAGTCCAATGTTTCCACCAAGACAACAATACAGCTGCACCAAATGTTGTTTTTCTCATTAGATGTGTTTCAGTATAGGTCCTGCTCACAAAATTCAGTTCAACGCAAAAAACCTTTAGATTTGCAAAAAAAGTTACATTAATACATTTTAATCACAACTTTATTTTACTTGCAATAAAAACTTTTTGATTGAATTGTCATTAGTTTTGTTCTCAAATCTGTTTTTTTTTTTTTTTTTTACAGTGTAATAAAGACACACGTGTAACCCAATACATTTGCTGTGAATGTTGCCATACAAATAAACTTGAACATTATCACAAAAGATTGTGTGTGAAGTGGATCTGTTCCAAGTAAATCAACATGGGAGAGTTTGCCAACACTTTCCCAGTTTCTGTTCCTTTAACAAATTGTACCACACCCCCCAAAATGCAAAGTAGTCTGTGAGAAACCTTGTTAAAGTGGCTGCAATCCTATGCCAGCTTGTCCCTGCTTGCCATGAATGAAACTATCCCAGGACACAAGTTATACAGCTTTTGTTATTATGTTAAAGTACCAAATCTGGGAGCAGACACCCAGACGTAGGTGGAGATAACCTTGAATACAACCCTCTTTGCTGTGTCATGATTACCTTGCACCAAAGAAGCACAACACCTCACCCTAGTGAACCATTAATGGTTTTGGAGGGGAGGCAGAACTCCAGGTATAAATAAAAGGCTTGACAGGAACAGAGGCAGAGAGGGAGGGGCTACAGATCACACGAGGAACACAGGATGAGACAGCAATACAGACGACAGTAACGGAGAAAGAGGAACAAGGGGAAAAAAGTTTGGTGAAGTAAGAGATGTGATGAGTCGGTCAAAGGGGCTGTAGTGTACAGTGAGAGATTAGTGACAAGAAGTTAGAGAGTGTTTGTGAATAGGTCTTTTGTCCCTTGAATTTAGTTTTACTGCCAGTTTTGTAACATTTTCCTGCACCAGTCACTAAGGCTGATTCGGTCCAGGCTAGACCAGAGGGACAGATTCCAGCTGACTTCTACTTTAAATCCTATCCAAAAAAGACAAGAGACCGTGAGTAAGTGTTAGGCAGTGTTTAAAAAATGACCAAAAGGTCAGCATCTACTCAAAAAGATGGAGCAGTCGCGGTGAATGGACACAAAGTTTGCCAAAATGGGACTCAGTCAGATCCCAGTGAGAAACCGCAGGACAAGGATGACAGAAAGGTGGAACTAGGAAAGAAGGTGACCCTGCTCCGAGGGGTCTCCATCATCATCGGCACCATCATCGGAGCCGGGATCTTCATTTCTCCAAAGGGCATCCTGAAGCACTCCGGCAGTGTAGGAATGTCACTGATAGTGTGGATCGCCTGCGGTGTGCTGTCACTCTTCGGTGAGTTGGTTTCCAGGTTAATAATAATAACAAGTTCAGCTTGTTCAGCAGTTTGTGCCATTTATGAACAAATAAAGATGTTAAACTTGGTCTGTATGAGAAACATGTGCAAATAATTTCTTTTTGAAATTTCTCTCAAAAAGTGCCTTTCTATTGCTAGAAGCAAAATTTATGGTTAGTTTAAATTGTGTGTAAAAAATACTCTTCCTATTAAAAATATCTACTGAAGATATTAGTGCAACCTAAGAATAAAAAGCGTTTTTACTAAAACCAAATGTATGTGTACTGCACGTATTGTTGTGCACATCTATGTATTGTAGCATATATTGTTGCAGTCTCCTTAAATCCTTCAGTTTTTCCACTGTAATGGAAGGTCCAAGCACATTATCTTTGAATTCCCTTCTTTAAACCCTTGGTGTTTAAGTGCTTTTATTACTAAAAACAAGCTTATGCTTGATTTATATATACAATGTATGCTCAAAAAATAATCTTCTAACAAGTTTAAGCTTTTTTTGGGTGTACAAATATTTCCTTTTTATTAGATTTGTATTTAGTGAGATTAGATTCTCAGCTTTAGCATCAAGTCAGTATAGTTACACATCTTCATTGTGCCTTTAATGCTTGGACCGCTAACATTCTAGCACCCCCTACAGGCGCTGTAACGGTCTGCCAGACTGTCATATGCAGGATGCAATTTACTGGCAGGGATGGTGGGAATTGGCCTCTTTGTGGTTTATATACAGTATCCCGGCCTCTACTGAGGTATTTTAATTCATGGCTTCATAGTGATTTATGCTGCTTCATTGACAGACTATAGAAAATATCCACATAAAAATATATTTTGTGTGGTGCAACACGCAGTGAATGACACCTCCACAGGAAAACAGATCCGTCATCAAAGCGGACCGTTTTCTTATTCTGACAACTAGGCATATACTGTGGCTATGTTTATGATGACAGCACGTTGTGCTATTGCATGTAGTGATTGTTTCAGTTTTTTTATACAGAAATAATGGAGGAAACACATGTGTTTTACAATAATTGTTCTACCTGGAGATGACATGCGAGCTCTCAGAGACCAGTGTGTCTCGTGAGCTGGACCAGACAGCAGCCGGCAGCACTTGGGCATCTGGTGGTCGCACTGCTGAGATTAGGCTACATTATAATTCCTAATTCCTTATTTGCGAGAGAGATTTCAGACGTTGCTTACGGGTTATAGCCAGTAGCCTACTATTTACAACATCAAGATCTAGTTTGTATTCACAAAATAGTTTGTCAGGTGGCTGCTCCTGTTACCCAGGAGACTGGTGTAAGTTTCCCGTGTGAAACGAAAAGTCAACATTGATTCTTTTTAGTTTTGTTATGTAAGTTAAGTTATTTTAACCCAAAACATGATCTTTTACCAAACCTGATCAAGAAGTTTTGGTGCCTTAACATGAACAAATTGTGACATTTCACAGCATTAACCACATGCTGTTTCGAGAATTAGGTTTGAAAATTGGTAAAACTGTTTCTGGATCTTTTTTTATTAGATTTTCAAACTTTCATAGATTACAAGTTTTCAGTTTAGAGATATGGCATGATATTCATTCCAAAGAAAAAGGCGAAAGATTCCAATTGTGCAAGGTAAATGTGAACCACATTATGTGAAAAGCCCACACTTTCAGACTTCCATACATTTGCTATAAGGAGAGAAATATCCAGCCATGGTGCTCATGCTTCCTAAAATGAGAGTTTAAGAAAGTATTGCTATGTTTTCTAAATAATAATAATAATTATTATGATTGTTATCATCAACAAACAGCCAAAAAGACTGTTATTGCGTGTCTTGAAGTAAAATGTGAGTGGTACACTAAATAAATACTCAAGTCTCTCTCACTGTGAAGTAGGAAGACTCAGTTGTATGATTTTGTTAAGTGGCAGGTTATTTTTCATGCACAATTATGTTCAAGTTTAAAATTCAATCAAGCAGCTTCATCAGTGGGGTATAGTGAGGGAAGAGGGAAGTATCCAGAATATAAAGACACCAGGTGTCTTCCGATGTACATACAAAAACCACATGTACGCCTTTACCCACGCATAACTGGTATTTAAGATGTGCATACCTGCATACTTCAGACCAGGGGTAAACGTGGTTTTTCACAGAAAGCTGCGGGTTAAGCACATTCATAAACTTTATTTAAAAATATATGAGTGATGAATCCTGAATTTTGAAGCACTTTGTAAACGCTGTTTCAATATGAGCTCTAGAAATTAATCATTGATTATACTTCTGACATTTAATAATGATGACATATCACAGCTGATGATTGTTTACAGCAGACAAAGTCCAGGGACCCCCGGGGTCCTTGAGGGGTTTCCAGGGGATCCCCAGCAAAAAGCGGAATACTTTATTTTCATTATAATTCTATCCATAAGTAGTACATTAACAGAATGTCTGACTATTTTCGTCATGGGTTTCATACGCTTTCTCTAATAAAACATCTAAAAGCAAAAATCCTATCAGATGGGGGACCCTGGGACAAAATTTTATCAAATGGTAGTCTAGTTTGTGTTAGGTTAGGGGTCCCTGATGTGAAAAAGTTTGAGAACCACTGGTTTACAGGCAGGCTTGTGCATGTGTGGTCAGTTTGATTGAGATTTATAAAACAGAATCAGGCATACTTGCCGCTTAATAAATCTGATGAGAAGAAGAAGAATACATATTTCTGTCTATCTACACAGAGTTTTATGCATCCTGTCTCAGGAGGATTAAGTAGGTCAACCATGCAATCCACAGTAACTGCTCAAACAAAAGCTAAACATACATCCAAATACCCAATACCTCCTGCAAATGATGTTTATATACAACTAATTTGCAACAGAATATACATGTAATACTACCCAGATTGCATTTTCTATTAACATAATAAGGAAAAGTTCAATAACATGTCTGGCAAGTTGCAAAAATCTTGATAATGAACATATCAGTAAAATCATTACTGACCTGTCATTTGTGTTCTGAAAAAATAAACAGTCTCGCAATACAATATCTTCTGACTAGAGCATTATTATATTTTTATGGTAATGTTGAGAATCCTGCAGCACTTGGTTAAGGTTAGGGAAAGATCATGGTCTGGTTTAATAGAGAAAAGGTCAGCAGTGTCTTTTAGTATGAAACAAGCACATTTGTTAACATTTAACCCAAACCTGGACCTCCTCCCTGTGACTCCTGTGTGGGACATAAATGTAGCGCTTACAATAATAAAAAAATAAACTTTGTCATCACAACATAATTGGGAAAACATTTTAGTAATATGATGAATGTCATTTCTAGGAGACAGTGTTGAAATACCGGTGCTGCAGGAGGCAGGCAGCACGTCCAGTTTTTCCACTGTAATGAAAGGTCCAAGCACATTATCCTTGAATTCCCTTCTTTAAACCCTTCCCTGCTTCCCTTCATTCCTATTCCCTAAACTTCTAATTAAAATTCGCCCGCCTAAATCTTTCTTTCTTAAAGTTATGGGTTGAGACCCTGAAAGGCTCTCACAGTAATATATTTGGATATATCATGGGGCCCAGGGAGGGACTGTACATTTCCATAGATGTTTAACAGCCCTGGGAGTGTTCTACCTTCTTGTTTCAGAGTCAGAGCTAATCTGTCACTTCTGTCACTGCAGGAGCCCTGTCCTATGCTGAGCTGGGGACTTGTATTAAGAAGTCTGGTGGACATTACACGTATATAATGGAAGCCTTCGGACCTCAAATGGCTTTCATAAGGCTATGGGTTGATCTCATTGCTATAAGGTAATGTCCGCCGCCTTAACACAAGTTCAATTAAACTTAAAGCTGCATTAATTATTAGTCTACTATAATGTGTCAAATAACTGTCTCATGTAAAAATCGTCCCTAGTAGAGAATTATCACCCAATTCTTCTGTGCTCCTCAGTTCTATGGGGCGTTTTAGTATGTTTCAATTAATTTTTTGGTTTTACAGGCCTAAAACTTTACTGCAGTAGGCAGCAAAAAAGCTCTGATAAAACCAGTTGGTAGGGACAAAAGAGATGAAAGGAGAGTGAATATTGGACTACCATTCATCAGATGGACACAAACTGACTTCAAATGAATGATTATGTTGCTCCATGTCTATTGGATGCTTTAATAGGCAACTGTTTTAAACTCTGACCGTAACGTTTGTCACGAATACAGTGCAGCTTTGGTAAACTGACACGACTCACAGAATTTGTGCCATTTACTAAACTGACCACCTTGACAGTACTGACCTGAACCACAAAAGAAGCATGGTGTGTTAGCTTACTGTCCAGTTGGTGACTGAGTAGCCACTATGGTACCACACTTCCAACGCTACCTATTTCACACGGACATGCAAATTAATGACAAAATGTCCACAGAAACTTGAACCTAATTCATTTCTAAATCTGTTCTAAACACACAGTTTCTCTAAGCAATAGCTTAATAAACTACTACATTGCTGTAAATAGGGCAAGTAGTTATTTATTGGAAATTGTTTTGAGAGAGATTATTGATACAGCTTTTGTCCTCCACAAAAGGAGCCCACAACACCAGGCAAATAAAGGCCCTATCTGGCTGTGACCTTGTGAAGTGGGATAGTGAGTTTAATTTAGACCAGTGAGGTGAGAAAATTGTCCGTGTGCCGCTGTCTGTGTACATAGCCAAGGCAAAGCAGTATAAACAGTCCAGTGGCTATCCTAAGCTGCCCAATTTTAATGGTGGCCTCAGGCTAGCAGGACTGAATGGAAACCATGGGAAATGAACAGAGACAGAGAGGCAGAGAATGAAAACAAGAATGAGGGAGACAAAGAGAGATTTCCCCGGCTGCAGCAGCTCAGTGGCTGTTGTGGGAAATGAAGAGGGAAATACTGATGAGCCATAAGATGAGCCTGTGGGAACGGCCAACCTTATTTGATTCTTATTGAAGCCAAGCCTACACACAGCACACAGTCCAACACATGAGGATGAGATTATGGGAACAGTTTGTCTAGGATGATCAGATATTACTATCACACACGCACGCACACACACTGCTGAGCAACTAGATAATACCTGCTACAACCGAAGTTACACGGAGATACATTAGAGCTGAAATGGCCAATCAGAGTGGGGCTATGTTAGGCGGAAGACTACAGGGGTGGCCAGGTTGAAAACTGGGTTTGAAAAATATTGAAGATTTATGAATATGCAAAGATGGTTTGAAAAGGTAGTGGAGAAATATTCTAAATACATTATTACTTATGACTGCAGCACTTTACATTACAGCTTGGTAAAAACACGGTAACAGTGGGGTAATTGTTTCATAATAAAGAGGTAATAAGTAATACATGTAATTTGTGAAGATTTTAGTAACATAACGAGTAACTTCACTTACTTTTATCACCCAGTAATAAGTAAAGTAATATTATTACTTATTTAATGAGTAATAGGTAACTAGTAACCTTTTCTGAGTAACTTGCCCAACAGTGGTGACGATACTTCTCGTCATGGGAAAAGCCGTCTCACCAGACTCACGCAATTGTGACTTTTACACTGTCCTGCCACACATCAATCTTGTCACACAGTGAAAAACAAATGTATAACTGATAACATCGACTCGTCTCACAAATCACCTCCATCCAGCTGATGCGACACCGATGTACGCCGTCAAGAGTAATAACAAATAAAGATAGTAACCCCCCTCTCACGCTGTGAGTCGCAGCCAGTTTGTGATCGAGTGGTAACAGAGACTGTAGAGTTTTACAATATAAACATCTTAAAACTGAGGTGCAAACCTGCTCTTTTGGGGACTGTGAGCTGCATTTTTTTTCCGGAGGTGCTGAAGTTAACGTGTGGATTTGTGGTGAGATTTCTGCCTGATCAGAAGTCTCTTCAGTTAGTTTCGGTTTCCACTTCCTTGTCTCATCCATTACAGTCCCTAAGGGGGTTCTGAGACGGTCTGAAGGGGATACAACCATATCAGCAGAGCAATAATGTAATGCACAGCGGGCAGGTAGACTTTGAAAAATATTATGAGTTCTCATTAAAGGATGATGTTATTCTCATAATATTCAGACTTTTTTCTGGACATGTCAGAGAACACAGATATGTGGGAGAGCTTCTGAATGTGCAGAAAGTTTTGAAAATGAGCAGAAAACCTGCTGAAAAACAGGAGCTATTAAAGTCCAGGAGTTTATAATGACTTAAAATGAATCCATTTATCACTGAGGTGAAAAGGTGCCACATGCACATTTAAAAAGGTTACTTCCCCAAACAAAGACACCAAGAGGAGGGAAGACTAAATCATATTTTTAGATTTTGAATTGTCACCTGCCACCCTTCTGTGTTTCCCTTTACATAAATCCAAACGTATGCACCATATATTGATGCAGAAAAGGCAGAAATTGATGCAAATTAAGTCTTTAATGCCCACTGAAGACTTCTTAAAAATAGTGTTAAAATCTCGTCTTGTCTCGATCTCATGAACCCATTGATGTGTCTCATCACACCCCTAATAATTACCATATTATAATGCTGTAATTCATTCTCCCCTGTGTTCCAAACATTCCCTTTGTTTCAAGGTATTTCTCTCCAAATTATATTTAATGCTGTGACTTGTTACTTTAAAACACCTGAGGTAGTTTCTGTGTAATGACCATGAATCAGGGCTGCAAAATGCTGAACTACCTGTTTCTATGACCTTCAATCAGGACTAAACTACCTGTTTCTATTTCATGGTAACATTCTCTACTTCCACAATGTAGTGTGACATATGTTTTACAAACTGCATGTCTGTTTACTTCCTGTCAGCTCTACAGTAATGTTACCATTAACACTGTAGCCTACATATTGCTAATAGTATTTACCGTTTCTTTTTGTATTTAGTATTTGTGATCATTTTGATAATCACCACTGTGTCTTAGATGTTAGCGACACTAGCTAGTCACTCAGTGTAGCACCAAAGTTGGCCTGATTTTCATAGCTTAGCTAGCTAATGTTAGGTCGCCATGGCTGTTTTTTTACAATTGGTGCTTGGAAGAGCTGCGTGTGAAAAAGAGCCCTGATTCAGGGTTATTTCACAGAAATTAACATAGGAGTTTCCACATTCATATTTATTCAGCTGGGCTATAAAAATAGTTTGACTTTTTAAAATAAGTTGATTGTTGCATGTCTATATCTATATTGTAAAAAAACAAAATGTAAATGCTGAATTACAAAGTTTACAATATTATGATTGCTCTAAAAAGATTGTATTAAATCAGTAAGCCTATACTTTATATTTATACTGTGTACAGTAAAGCTGCATTCATCAATTTTTGGCCACTAGCGGGGGCTATAAAACTGCATGTCATGCTGACAGACACTCTGACACACTGCTACCATGTTAGCAAAATATTTTCCATTTACAAATCCAGATGCCAGTTTTATCATTTGTTTGGAGTGGTGTGAGTCCACCCACCTGATGAATGTAATTCCAATATTCACTCTGCTTTCACTGACATGTAGTCATTACTTTTAGTGTGAAAATAAAATGATTGACTTGTATTGACATGTTGAGTCTACCTTTTCATGTATGTGTGTGTCCCCAGGCCTGCAGCGATGGCAGTCATCTCTCTGGCCTTTGGTCAGTACATTCTGGAACCTCTGTTCATGCCTTGTGTTATCCCCCCTATGGCTGTCAAACTGGCTACCGCCATCGGCATAAGTATGTATACCTAGACTACCTTTAAATGAAAAATTGGTGTAATAATCGATGTGACGATATATCAGGATATTATCTTTCTGACCTGTTGTAACCTGGAATGTAAATGACAGGAGATGTACGATTGCATGAAAACAGGAATCAAACTGTACAGTTATAGACAGGAGGGTGAGGAAGGAGAGCCTTATGTCAGCTATGACAAAATGAAAAATAATATGTAAAAATTCCTGCTTATCTTAGCAAACCTCTCCATTAAATATAAACACAGACCACAACATGAACAGACAGTACAGCAACTCCGCAAAGATGTGTAATACTGCAGTACTACAGTGATTCCCTCGAAGCAAAACTGAAATCCTCCCATAGGAACATACACAATGTCCAGCATAATAAAGCCACTTTCATGAGTAATTTAGGTTTTAATTGGGTTAATAATGGTGCAGTATGTGTCAGTGTAACATGGTGCAGAGAGCTAGTTATGTGCACATTCTGTCCTATATTTAGGCCAGGTGCAAGATAACCACCTCAATGAAAGAACATATGGAGAGTTAAAGCTCCTAAAACGTTATGGGGCTGAAAAAGGGGCAATGATCCAACCTTACCAGAACTTCATCAGGCAACGGGTAATTTATACAAACGCAAACTGATCATCCAGCTGACGACTTGGTCGTATTATTACTTGGCGTAATATAAAAAAATACAACAATATGACCCCGCAGACACATTATCAAAAGTAGCTGCAAAATAGTTACAGAAATCGCGAAATTCATACATGTAAATTACTTGAATGTATAAAGATATTTTAAAAAGAGATTATAATCCGACTCCTCTTAAATTGAGCAGTCCAGTAGAAATTTTGCACAGACCGGAGACCCACAGCACTGACACATTGTCCAGACCACTTCAGCAGTGGTTTTCTGTCATCCATCTTATGCATGTCTGAGAAGCAGATGTGCTTCTATTTGATCAGTCCAGTTCTCTAAACAATGTAACTTTACGCACATAACTGCGACTTAAAGTGTGTTTTATTTTAAACACTAATGAGAGTGCACAGCAGTACTGCTGATCAGGTCCAGTGCAGACAGTGGAAGACTAAAGCTGCTGCTGTGATGCCTTTGCTAGGTGGCCAGTGTAGACAAGCTGTTAAACATGTGGTTTAGTCGGGTCTGCAGGATTTTGATGTTTATATTTGCTTAAACAGTTCAACTGCTCAACCCTATCACTAGACAAAAATAATCAATTCAACATTACATTCAATTTTGTTAATATTTTTGTATTAAATTTGTTTTTCTACAATGTTTGGTAGAGATTATGGAAAGACCATGGTTATGGCACATAGGTTAAGTTAAAGGTTAATTCAGGCAATTAAAACACTTGGTTAAATTTAGGCAAAGATCACGGTTACAGATTTGAAAAAAGCGATCATTAACAGTCAAATTATGATGGAACACAATCTTCGGTCTACACATTTAAGTCAGACATGTCCGTCCACCATCCCGACCTCCAAGTCTTAAAACTGTGTTTTTCTCTATGAAGGATACTTTTTCTTCTGCACTGGCACTGAATGTTGTCACTGGATATAAATTGTGTGCTGCAAAATTGTTCAGTAGGAACCTAATTCCAAGTGGCCGAATGTAACTAAGTACGTGCTTTACTCAAATATTTCCATTTTATGTAACATAGTCAAATATTCAATTAAGATATTAAGTAAGATTCCACTTGCACAGAAATCAACCACTTGTTGAGAATGTAATGAGATGATACGGCCAACTATGTTTGGAAACGCAACGAACAACACGCATGGATTTTCAGTATAGTATCTTATGTTTTTACATGGCTCTCTGTCTGTGCCTGTAGCTTCTGTCATGTACCTGAACAGTATGAGTGTGACGTGGACAGCCAGGATTCAAATCTTCCTCACCTTCAGCAAGCTGCTGGCCATCGCCATCATCATAGTGCCTGGAATGTACCAGCTCTTTAAAGGTAAGACACCTTCATCATCATCATCATCATCATCACCGCCTCTAATGGCAGGAATCCACGTTACGGCTGCACCACGGTTATTGATTTCTTCACAGCTCTCTGTGACCCCGTTTCATTCCCTCAACTTCAGGCTACATATCCCACAAAGAGCATTTCAGAATCAGAGTGTTTTACCTCCATGATTTTGCTGACATGGTTAGATTTTGTTGATTTGGTAATCAATCTGTGCATTTTGTGCTTTTACTATGATTAAGTAGGCTTCGTAGTTAAACGGTTTCTTTCTGTGTCTGTTTTAACCGTATTTGTTGTTTTACGATCAGGAGTCTCCACAGGGTGTTTTATTTTGAAAATTGACCGGATTCTCTATGCTGTTCGGTGTCTGACTTCCTGCCTGGTTCGATCTGCTCTGTGCTGCTTGACGCGGCTTCCGTCAAAAATAGACCTGCTACCTATTGTCTGCGGAGCGGAGAGCCGCTTCAGCCGCGTCTGGTGGACTCACGAGGATTGGCTAGAATGGCCGGGATAAGCTCTGGCAACCGTAGTGCAGCTGTAACGCACCATAGCCCGAGTCAGTTGATTTTAGGGGTAATGGCCTCTATTAGTACTATAGAGGCCCAACCACCCCCAAGAGTCCTTAGGACATTTAGTGTTTCAGGAACATTCTTAGACTTCACACAGAGCGCTCAGCTGCAACACATTAGCATGGCTTACCATGTCTCACACAACAACATGCACTGTAAATATAACCTTAAAGCCTTGCAGGCCGTGATACACAGCTGCTCACAGCAAGCAACAACTCAGGCATTTCCCATGTGACAGTTTGACTCTTTTAAAAAAAAAATTCTTATAATTAAACAAGGAATAGCCCAACACACAGAAAAGTCCATAAACACATTAATATTGAACCAGGAAACCAAGATGACCAGACACAAAAGCAGTTGGAAAAAAGGAGAATCACAGTGGTTTCATTGTTACAACAAAAGTGAATGGGCAAGGAGGGACTCCAGAGGATTGAATTTCCGTAAGCAGGCAGGCAGGGAACATGAGCACGGCAGGCAAGTGAAAACAGGACAAAACCAAACGAGGCAGATCAGAAGAGCTCCCCAGAATCAAGGATCAAAAAATCTAAGGCACAAGAAAAACACAGGATGTCAGAAAGACACAGGAATCAAACATTACAAAATACTTGTGTTAGCACTGTGCACCACAGAAAGTGAACGGACAATCTGGCAAGGGTTTGCAAGGGTTGATTGTGGAATTGGCTTCACGTGACCTTCACTGATGCACGCAGAGAGGTGCATCGCCCACGCAGACACAAACAGAAGACTGACAGCTGACAGACAGAAACACTGGGAGAGGAAAACATAAGAAACACTAGGAACAGGATTGGTGGCATGGCCAGATCATAACACGTAGGGCAAATTCAAACAACCAGTCATCAGTAGCCATATCATGTGGTGTGGACCATAACTGGGCTTATGATAGGGATCTTTTTTCAGGTCAGTAGGTAAATAACCAAACCTCCAGAAACAACTCCTCTTCTTTTGTGCAAGACACACTTTTGAGCAATTAAAAGGAACTTGTAGTGTGATGCAGGGAGATGCAATCTTAGCGGGGGAGGCCCAAGAGGAAAACACCAGGTTCTATTTTAATATCCCACTAATTACCTTAGAAATACATGCCCAAAATCTGGAGGGTAGTTTACACTCCCAGAAGCAATGGAAACATGTCCCTCTATTTTAGGCTATAGGAGACAGCAAGCACCTCACATTCCTTCCCAGATATTTAGTTATATCATGCCAGACTCTGATACTGTATATAACAATAGTGTGCTTTATTTCTTAATCCTTTATTTACATTAAAAGTGACCAGACTCCATAGGGAGTGCGGAAAACAAACTCAGGAATCAATACAAGTATCCCTGCAGGGGATATTAATGAGACTGATGCGACCAATCAAGGACAATGGTCACTCTAGATCTTTAACTTGTGCAAAATCTAGGTCAAAATTAGGTGTTCACAGATCCCTCATGTTGCAGGTTTGACTTGAAACACTGGCACCAGAATCCTGGAGCACTGAGAAGACCACATTAACACTACAAAAACACTAGAGTTTCACTAGAAAGAGTTTTGGCCTTGAACTACTACACCACTGTCGATCACATGTCGTCTGGTGTGGACAAGAGCCAGGTGCCGGGAACTTAGACCACACCCACAACTCAAACACACTCTGTCACACTGTCACAAGGAAGGAGGGAACAGATAAAAAAACACAGGAGAACACAGAACGCAGCTGGAGAATCTTGTAGCCAGATATGGTACTATACTCACTAAAACTGTTAGGATAGTAGGAGTTGATAACTTAGGGGACCAGAACAGAAAAATAATGTTTGTGTACAAGCCGATTTTATGCACCACATTCCCCATGATTATTCCTATTACACCGATATGTAGCCAAATATTTCCAGCTAATGCAGGGCTCTATGCTAAGCTTTTTCCCAAGGAGCACAACACACAAAGAAATTTAGGAGCACAGCAAAAAATTTAACAGAGTTTAACAAACTATTTATTATTTACATATTTATACTACATGTGTGCTCCTTCTCTTATATGGTGTGAAACCATTAGAGGACTATGGAAGTGAAGACCCTTGTATCTGGACACTCAGCATCGGCCTTAATAATTTGTTTTGAAAATATGACATTGTAAACAGCTTTTAAAACACTGATCACTCATCACAAAAAACTTTACTGGGATTGGTGCTTGTGTAGTTTTTGAACCAGGGATGGATTCACAAATACAAACTATTACTACATTAGTCACTTAATTTGTTAATGCTACTATCTCATCAACAATCAGAACCATTCAATTTTATTTATATAGCGCCAAATCACAACAACAGTTATCTCAGAGCGCTTTTCATAAAAGAGCAGGTCTAGACCGTACTCTGTGATGTATTTACAGAAGCCCAACAGTTCCCACCAAGAGCAGCACTAGGAGACAGAGGCAAGGAAAAACTTCCTTTAAGAGGCAGAAACCTCGAGCAGAACCATGGCTCAGGGTGGGCGGCCATCTGCCTCGACCGGTTGGGGTGAAGGAGAGAGAGAGAGAGAGAGAGAGAGAGAGAGAGAGAGAGAGAGAGAAGGAGAGAGAGAGAGAGCAGGAGAGAGAGAGAGAGAGAGAGCAGGAGAGAGAGAGAGAGAGAGAGAGAGAGAGAGAGAGAGGAGGGAGGCAGCCTACACAATATACCCACAGAGGTACAGACAGTAAAGGTGATGTTGCTATAGACTAAATGAAAAATGGTACAGATATTTATAGTAGTGTTAATGATAACAATCGTAATGTTAATGATTATAATTACAATAATTTACAATAGGACTAGTAACAATAGTCGTTGCAGCAGAGGGTGTCGAGCAGGAACACGGGGGCAGCAGGTGACCCGCAGCCACAGATCCAGACTCCACAGCTCCAGAGCCAGAAACACCTGCAGGAAGTGATAGGAGGAGAGAGGAGAGGGACGAGAAAGCACAAGACTACCAGAAAGGGGAGAAGTTGTGTTAGTAACATGCAAATAATGGGATGAGGTTGCATACAGAGGGAGAGAAAGTAGAGGAGAGAAGAGCTCAGTGCATCATGGGAAATCCCCATGTGATTGGTCAGTTGCCGAAAAGTGAAATTGACGAGAACATCCATTTTATGATAAGTTGAACATGTTTAAACAAAAGGCACCTGATATAGCTTATAGCCAGCTAGCTAAACCCACAACCTCCTTATCTTCTCCCTAATGTCTTCTCTCTGTCTTTGTTTTGAAATGACCATAGACTGTATATAAAAAGGAAACGACTTGCTTAAGCGGCCACCGAGGGACCCGCCCACCGTGAACTCTCCTGGTGGTCCGGTGACTAGCTGGCTTTATTCCTGCCAGAGTTTCAACAACTCTCATATGATTGACACCGGTTTTGCGTCGCGTCAGGGTTTTTTTTTTACTATTAGCGCGGTGCACTGCGTCAGGGGCGAGGAGATTATGGTAGGTTGCAGTAACTCGCACATTGTGCATTTTTAATTTTTCCAGTTTGCACGGATCGATTTTTAGGGGCATATGCTAACAAAATGGTCGCACTGTAGAGCCCTGTAATGCTAAGGCAAAGAGGAGTGGGCTAAGTGGGTACCCCTGGCAGATGCCTCTTGCCACAGAAAAAGGTTTAGACCGCTGTCCACTAATTAAGACAATAGCAGTTGGTGACTTTTATATGGTTCGGATCCATTTAAAGAAATCCCTGCCCAGCCCAAGGTCACACAGTACCGTCAAACAGGTAGCCCCACTTCCCCTATCAAAGGCCTTCTCCACATCTGGGGACAAAGTCAGGGCCTTCTGTTTCTTCTGAGTAGTTACCTGCACAATATTCAAAAGCCTTCTGACATTGCTGGTTGAGTAATATCCATGAAAGAAGCCTGTCTAGTCTGAGTTATATGAGTTGAGAGTAAGTTTTCCAGCTGCCTGGCAAGAGTAGCTGGCTGTCAACTGCAATTAGACTGATAGGTCTTTGGAGCCACACATGTCAGGAGGTTTATGTTTCTTCAGGAATGACAGATTTTGGCACAGTTTAAAGTAGGGGGAGGTAGCCCCTGCTAAAGGAATCTGAATACATTTATGTGAGGGGACTTACTAAAATCTTTCTAAACTTTTTTGTGACATTTTGTAAAAAATATACACTTACACTTTTTGGGGGGCGAGTAGAGCAGCTTTCTGACATTTCCCTTTAAGGAATTTTCTGGAGTTTGATGATTGTGGTTAATGCCCTTCACATTAAAAGGTCACTCATGTGATGTGAGAGGTGTCCCTCTGTTATGGAAATAAAGTGAGCCAAGTTCAGGTGTGATGAAGAAGATTTGGAGACTGAAAGACTTACAGAACATCGTGTATTGACCCAGGCCGAGGAGATACAGATACAGATACAACGTGTTAACATGTGCCATGCCAACACCAAATCTGACAGATACTTCCTGACTTGGGATATTTATCCTTCATAGACCTACAGAGATTCACCAATTGTCCAAATATGGCTATTGTTCACACTTATATGCATGTGTGAGGATTCTATTGGATCTTGGTTCAAATCACTATGCTTTCCTTAGTTAACCTAAATTCACATTGTGTGTGAGAGCCAGTCAGTCTGTCTGTAATGAAACAAAATAATAATAGATAATCTTGACCTTGGGTTACCTATGGGGTATACACTACAGTATAGAGTGACAATCGTATTTATAATATTCAGTCCAATACATGTAGCTGTGACAGATACACAGATAGTAGTTAGTTAGTTACTGAAAAGCAGACTGTCTGTCACACTGCCTTTTTTTGGTGTAGAGCTGGTGTTGATCTGTCTCTGAGCCAGGAATGTTGAAGTAACAGAGCCTGAACTTGTCTGGAGAAAAGCCACAGTTGGCATGCAGGTGTTTCCGCGTTTATTGCAGGATCTCTGTATGAAAACACTGTGTTTCAGATTATGCTCACTCATGAGTTCAAGCAAGCACACACCTGGTTGCAATCTTAAAACCGCACCGCTAGTGGCCGCTGAAAACTACATCATGCCTCTTTAATTTATGCTTTGGTTAGGGGCACCATCCAGGTCTCAGTAAAATTGACTATTTTGTTTAAATCAAACTTCACAAAACGATGCACACCAATCAAAATGCACACCCTGCACATCGAATGATCCTACTCACCCCAACAAGAACAACACAAAGACCAAGTCTTGCAAATATTCAAAGACAAAAATTTTCTGGGATTATTTTATCATCTTTGTTCAAGAGCGTGGTCTTTCAATTTGAGAGTATGACTTGCTTCAGATTTTGTAATGCTTCCCCTCAAAATCCTGCCCTCCCTCTCAAACAGCCCCTGTTTGGGAGCTCTGTATGGACTTGGCTTGGGAACTGGAGGTGCACCCGAGCAAGGCCCAGAACCCCCCCTAACTGCTCCCCTGGCGCTGCACAATGGCTGCTCATTGCTCCTAAATAGAATGGGGTAAAAGCAGAGAACAAATTCTGCAGGTATTGTACTGTGTATAAATTGCGTAGCCAATAAAGTTTTTAATCATTATCGTAATGGCTTTGCAGTTGAGGCGGTGGGAGTTTATTCCTATTGGAGGCCGTTTGAATCATACTTTTTTAGAGGAGCAACAGAAGGTGCTTTGAGTTTGCAGAGGGTAGAGAGTTTTGAATATTATATATGTGTTGTATGTTTTTGCCTGGGCAAAGCATGCTCCAGAACCCTGACCCACATGGGCCTCAAAGCCATATTTATTGTGTGGCAGTTGGTTTGTGATCATTTGACTGACTGCAAATTTGTTGGGTACTAATCTGACCTAGTAGTATCTATGTTTACCTCTGCGTGTCTTCACACTGTGAGAGTTACAACCAATTCATGGCTTTCAGCAATTCAATTAGATTGTTTTATCGGTTTGTATAAAAAGTTTTAGTTCATAAATGTGAGCTCCTGCATGAAACAGAACACTGATTACATTTGAGAGTGATTTCATCTGTCTGTACCTCTAGTACCTGTGTTTTACAGAAGATCGATTTCTCCAAGCTAATAAGGCAGAGCACTGCTCGACTCTTACTATTATTATTATTATTATGGCTACAATCACTCCTGGTCTTGTATAACAACTATTTGCACAGATCATTCCATTGCTGCAACAATTCCTCTTCATAAAAGGAGCAATTATGGTGATTCAAACAGTCAACAAGTAGAAATGTGTGTCCTTGTTTGTGTGTGCACTTTGTAGGAGAGACCAAGAACTTTGAGAATGCCTTTGACCTGAACAATGTGAAGCTGTCTGGTATGCCACTAGCTTTCTACTCTGGGATGTATGCATATGCTGGGTGGTAGGTATGGCCGGGCACACACACACACACACACACACACACACACACACACACACACAAATTGTTTGTTTGTTACGTAAAATGTTGGATGTCGTCACTTCAGTTCCATATGCATTGCACATGATTTACCGTACACCTATCAATGGAGGTTATACAATTACTGTGTCCTTTTGCAGGTTCTATTTGAACTTTGTGACGGAGGAGGTGGATAACCCTGAACGGTAAGTTTAATCCATGTGTATCTGTATAGGTAATCTCTGCTGAATTGAAAGCCTAAAGGAAAACGTTTTCTTCAGTAGTTTCCCAAAGTACACTCAGCCATATCACATGGGAAATACCCTTAAAGCGGTTATAATCTTTATTTTTATATTAAAGCTGGGGTAGGCAGTTTATGTCAGAAGCATGTTTTGTTATATTTGACATTCTCTTTACGACCCCACAGCAAACAATAAATCAAATGATATGACACAAAAATGGAAAAAAACAAAATCTGGTCATCTGGAGCATTTAGGGCAAGATTTTTAGGTGTCAACCAATCACATGTGCAGAACCATACCAACACTAAATGTACTAACAAGTATTGTATGTGTATCCAAAGCCTGATATATCTTAGTCCTCTGTGCCATAGAGCTCCATTGTTGTCCAAAAACTACTAAAAACACATCAATGAGCCACACTGCAGTTAATTTTGACTCAATCCCACATCTACTGTCCTACTTGCTGAAATACTCACAAGAGCACCAAATGTTTATCAACCGCTGAAATTAGTCCCCAACAAATGCACTATGCACTGTTTCCTCCTGTTTGAGTAGTGTTTGCTTAAAACTAGAGTGACCGGCTGTTGAAGGAAATGACTAAGCTTTTCATAGATTGATAAGATTAGGTCGATAAGATGGAGCATAATGCCAGACTTATCCTTTAACAAACAACGTCAGAAAGAACATAAAACACACAGATGAGAAACCTTAGATGGTGACATATCACAACTAAAGAGATTGCAGTTTGTTTTTCCATTCATGAACAGAATGAAAATGTGCCCAGGAGTGTAAGACAGGGGATCTGTGGATACTTGCTTTCACATTTCTTGCTTGAACAACAAATGAGACAACAGTCTGCAGGAGGTGGTTAATGCAACTTCGACATTTCCTCCATGTTTGCCTGTTGTCTTGATAAATTTGGTATACTGTATAATGTTTGCATAATCACTGCAGCAACAAAGTTATGTCATACTCACCACTCTGCTGCTCTCCGTTCTCTATCAGAAATACTGCTTTCATTCACTATTAATAGTCACCTCCATTTTTAACCTTGTTGAGCCTTTGGATTTAACTGTTATGAAACTCAGTACTTACTACACAGAAATGTCAAGTCAAAAGCTTTGCAGCAGCCCTGTGGGTGTAATTCATCCCTTCCCTATTAGGCTTAGAAAAATCTACAGGAAGTGTTGAGTTGTATTGACAGTGGCTTAACAGCCAAAGCAGCAAAATAATTAGTAAATGAAAGCGGTATGTGTTTAAAAAAAGAGCTCAGAGTGGTTAGTATGACAAGACTGTTGCACTGATGGAGTTAGTGCTGTGGAAATGTGCAATGTCCTGAATTTACCATGTGCAACATTATAGTACAGGTCATTCCCAGCCTTTACCTCTTTGTACTGGCCACTGTTACAGTTTTTTTCCCATTGCTAACCTGCATAGGTCAAACGTGAAGTCACATTATCAAAACTCTTCACACAGTAAGCGAAACAAGTGGCCCAAACTGTGAATCATTTTTCATTGCTGTCACATAAAATGACTATGGCTAAGACACTGTGTCCAAAACACGTTCATAACAAAATGTTAAATATCCTGCATTTTTGCTGTAGCTGGACAGATGTATATATAGAAATCCTTGCAGAACATTTACATACATTTTATGTTGACGTTTATGCACATAGAGAAATGTGTGTAGTGTTTTGAATGTGGTTTTACTGTAAAAACTGCAAGCTGAGTGTAAAGCAAGAATTGTGCTTATATTTTAGTAGAATTGGTTCAAGGGGCCCCGGCCTTTCTGTGTGGAGTTTGCATGTTCTCCCCGTGTCTGCGTGGGTTCTCTCCGGGTGCTCTGGCTTCCTCCCACCATCCAAAGACATGCAGTCTAGGTTAATTGGCGCTGACCCTGAATTGTCCTTAGGTGTGAGCGTGAGTGGTTGTTCATCTATGTGTGGCCCTGCGATGGACTGGCGACCTGTACAGGGTGTACCCTGCCTTTCGCCCGATGTCAGTTGGGATTGGCTCCAGCCCCCCGCAACCCTGTATGCAGGATAAGCGGTTGACGATGGATGGATGGATGGATGGTTCAAGGGGTTGGTACATGAATTACAGACTGGTCATGGTGTCTCAGGTACCAGTTTTACTGTGTAAACAACTCAAATTGTAGCACTGAAATTTCAGCAACTTCTTTTTTTCAAAAGTAAATTACGTAATGCAGTAAGAGTACATGTCTATACTACTATAGTACAGTCAATAAAGTGAAATTATGTTATTCTTATATTTTTTCTTAGTGGCTTTGGTACATTTCTAGAATCATCCTTAACATCTGCAAAACTATTTGTATTGGTAAACTACGGCTAAGGTTTAGATGGCAATGATTGAAAATGGACATGGCTGCACTTTTTTCGCATGGCATAGAACAATTTCAACAGTACAAAGTTATACATTGCAAGGGTTTGGATTGGGACGGGAGTCAGTTACACGTTTACTGTTTGCACTGTAATTTGTTGACAGAGCATGTCATTGTGATGCAAAAACTTAAAAACAAGACTATTTTACAGCACTGCATGGCATAATGGAAACAATTACAAAATAAGAAAGGGACTCGCTGATCATCAATTTACTGCAGGAGACATTTACAAAGAAAGTCTAATAGACATAGGAACAAAAAATGCAGATTATGAGGTGTTGAACCATTTGGCATGTAGGGACTTACGCAATGAACTTAGATGCTTTGGGGGGTAAGACTACTCAAGAGAGAAGCAGTATACTGTAATACAGTGTGATCAACATGACATTCAGTAAGTAACTGAAAATGTAGGATACAGCAGACAAATGTACATAATTTGCATAAATGTGGCAACGCATTTGCAATTTCTCAAAAGACTGAGAAATTGCTTTTACATATGATGTGCACAAGTGACAATGTGGTGGTTGAACAAGTAGAATTTAAATTCTGATCTGAGAAATGTACCAAAGTGACTGAGAACAGCTGTATGCTATAATGAAATACTGATTTATTTTTTGTTTGGCCAATGTGCATGTTGGTAATGCAGACTGTGTGAAGAGTTTTGAAAAAGTGGCTTCAGTTTTGACCATTGCATCTTAGCAACTGATTAAAAAAAAAAAAACACTGTATTTGAACAGCAGCTTTTCTTTGAGAATGTAAATGTACTCAAAAATAACTAATAATTCATAATGTGTAAACAACAATATTGCCAAAGTACTCCTGAAATCTGTTAACTTGGTGCAAGAGAGTGGCTCCCCACTGAAGGGAAGTGAGATGCAGAAGTGAAGGACAGTATACAGTTTCTGTTATTATCTCTCCTGCCCTCAGGACTGTCCCATTAGCTATCTGTATCTCCATGGCGATAGTGACTTTCTGCTATGTGCTGACCAACGTGGCGTACTACACTGTGATGTCAGCAGAGGAGCTCCTGGCCTCGGAAGCAGTCGCTGTGGTAAGTAATACTAATAATGCTTAACCAAGATAGAAAGGCACTAAATCTTCCATGCCACATTGGGGGGGGGGGGTGGATGAGCCTGGACTGGACTGAGCAAGCGCAGAAGAGACTGCAGGAGGGCATGACAACTGCATTTCAGTGTTGTCCAGCAGAGAGCAGCATAGTCCTGCCAAAGCTGAATGCAAATCAAAGCACAGAGTTTTGTATTTTTAAGAGGAAGATGCTTTGTCAATGTATTCAATGTCAGCAAGTGCTCCCCAGTTATGCAAGGGATCACATGCAGTTTGCAGTGGCCTCTCACAGTGAGGTTTCAGATTGCAACACCCCCCTTTGCAAGAGTGTGCTTGTGCTCGAACAAGCCAAAACAGAGACCGACACGCCGGAGACAGCTTCACACAACATGCTGGAAACTTAGATAAACTCCCACTGCAACGTTATAGTAATAGTTTTATCAGCGTGATGTTGAACTAATCCATGCTCTTTGTATGAGAACGTAAATTTAAATTGAATGTTACAAAGCAAACAGCGGTAGATCCGTGCTTATGTCCCTTGCATCACTATTGGTTTTAGAAACGAATCGCTCCACATTTGCTTTGTACCTTAACATAAATTCTTAGAAGCTAAAATCAACACTTATAATAATAATAATACCGATACCAGTGTTAGCTGGTTAAGTAATGGCTTGCCGCCATAGTATTTTGCAAACTTGAGCCAACTAAAACACAACATCACAATATATTTCACATGCTTTGCAGTAATGTTAGCTCACCTCTCCAATAGGGTGAAAGCCAGCTCTGGGTTGGTTTTTGTGGGTTTTATATCCAAAACAAAGCGGAGGTCTTTCCATGACACCTTTCCGACGTTGACCATGTTTTTGCCCGACATCGATCTGATTCTTGTTTGGCCTGACGGGCTTCAGCGCATAAAACTTTGTTGTTTTATCTTTACGTGGAGTTTGTGTTGGAGTCTATGTTGTGCTGGGAGCCGGTTGTTTTTTGTTGTTAGCAGACCCCATGTTGTTAGCTGCAGTGTTGTTGCTCTGTGTACAGTTCAGAATCAGTAGGCAAGAAGCTCAAGAAGCAGCATAGTGGCTGTTCCAAGTGTCTGAGAGAGCAGGCGAATGATTCACATTACTATGAGGTTACAACCTGTTCATAAATAGGTAATAAAAAAGTGAGTAATTGACAATGATTTTATTAAAAAACTACATATAGACCCCGTCATTTTTACATTTTAAAACCAACCACCAATTAGCTGTCAACAGATTTTTGATGTAGAGTTGTTCCAGCCGGCCTTGGCTCTCCTACAGTGTGTGCTACTTGAAAGCATTTAGTTGAGGTCTCACCTCTTTGCTGTTAGTTATGTTTACCCCTAATGTGAGCACCACAGTTGCCTTCCTGCACTTAACATGTCATTATTAGAGAAGTGTCTCTGACAGCTCAGCTTCCCAGCAGCTGCTAATGTGATTGTTCCAGCCCAGCCCTGTTAATGTTAATCACATCATGGGCATCCCCTAATAACAGCCACCATTGCTTATTAGACTGAGGACTGCTATCAGTGTTACTGTAAGCCTATAGCTGGGGAAGACTTATTCACCAAGCGATCTCTGATCTTTTCTAATGCATTTAGTTTTATTGCCCTGTGTACGATGAGTGATAGGAGCGCCTTAAGAAAGGTGTTAAGAGCATTTATCTGTTCTTAGAAGGCTGAGGGGATAAAAGAATTAGACTCTGTTCTTCCTTTCTCACAGACAGCTGGCAAAAGTTTACATCTAATTACAGAAAACTTGTCTCGAGGAGGCTGGCCTCAAGGCACAATTAGTAATTTTAGACCACATAAATTAGATGTGCATTCAGATAATGTAAGAGTGTGAAGGGTAATAGATGGAAAGAGTTGAAGGGTTTGAAGAATTACGTATAATTGTCATTTTGTGTGTATCTCAAGTCATCACGAGGAAATCATCACATTTGTTTGAGGTATATTAAAGACTCTGATATATGAATGCAAAATGAGTAGTTTATGTTTCTCCATTAATCAGAATTAAAAATATATGTTACAACGTTGACATACATTATTGAGCTCAACAACATTTGACAGCTTCAGAAAACAGTATTTCCTTAAAGCTAGTTGTTTTGCTGCTAGTATGTGTATTAAACTAATTTACTTTGAAAGTTATGGCAGGTTCCGCTGCAGTGTTTTTTTTTTATTTTGGTGCTGGTGCAATCTGTTTAGCAATTAGTTTAGCTTTGGATACCAAATTGTGCCTTTAATGCACAATGCATAAAAAATGTGACTGCTACAATGCTACAATAATTATGATCTAAAAATTGCTTCATGGTTTATAAAATGTTTTGCTGTCCAACCAGTAGATGTTCCCTCACTAGCTTCCAAACAACACTGCTAGTTGAAGCACCGCTAGCGGGAATTGAATGTGATCCCTACAATTCCCTAACAATGTGCCACCAAAACTGACATAATAATAATAAAATTAATAATATTAATAACAATAACTTTAATTTATAAATAGGTATTCAAAGACACTTTACATAAGGTAAAAATATCATGTTAAAACAATAAAAGTGGAAAAATACATTATTAACTGTACCTTTATTTGTGGTATAAACTGGTACTGCTATCAGGAACCAACTTTAAAATTTTAAAAGGTGTCCCTTTGTTGTCATGATGTCCAATTATATCAAGAGGGTCTAACTGCAGACTTCATGTCTGGGGACCCCAGGTCTGCAATCCACGCGTGACGTGCGTCCATTCTTTCAAGCAGCCATTTCTTTCACACAGGACTTAAAACAGCGTCAGTGCAACGTAGTGCAAAGATTATTTCTTGCTATACGTTTAATACAATGCTTAACTATTTGATGTTTGGTAGTGCAGGTGATGTTAGGGTTAGCTAGCTAACAAGAATGTCAACACTGGCAAAGTTAATATAATGAGAAGTCAATGTATGAAAGAGGTGGTGTTATGCTTTTAAAGTTAAATACCTTTTTCGTACATGTAACAGGTTTGCAAAGTGAAAAAGTCCAAATTCCAGCCCAAAGTGAGTTCCCATCTCCCACAGAAAACTCTGCTCTGAACTGGAAACAGCTCCTTTGTAGTCCAGCCGTTTCCCCTTCATCCCTGTGACTTCACAGGGACGCTCCCCAAGTGGCTACTCTGACACGTCTGTTCTTTGAAAATTAAACCATGTTCTGCGACAACCCCTAAGGATTATTCAATTTTAAATTTAAATTTTAAAATGAGAATAATACCACCTCTTTAACTTGTGTTGTCAGTGCCACTATTTAGTGTCCCTTAACTCATGCTGTCTTCAAAACTAACCTCAGTAGGACTTTAGTAGAACATTACACTGTCTTACAGATGGGTACAGCATATTTATCAGACAGAAGTAACAGAACTGTGTTTTATTTCTCTACCTGAGCAAAAATGAGATGAAAACACTGAAAGTTGCTTTTATCAGTTTGTGGCTACAAAGGAAGTGATGCACTTGAATTCTGGGGAAGTCTTTTGACCTGACCTATGTTGATATCACGGGGTCACTTATTACACCATTGAAACAAAAAATACTCTTGCTCACTTTGCTGCCTCTGTTTCTACCTGTCCCAGACCTTTGCTGAGAGGCTGATGGGGAACTTCTCGACAGTGGTGCCGGTGTTTGTGGCGCTTTCCTGCTACGGATCCATGAATGGCGGCCTCTTTGCCCTATCAAGGTACAGATGCTTCCTCTATGCTGGCCTTTGTCATTCAAATCATAAAGACAAAACGCACACATTCAGTGAAGTACCATAGAGCACCGATGTCTTGTCCAGTGGTAGAGAGCTATAGAAAGAATAATTACAGTTTATGGTATTTAGTATACTGTAAATTCTCAAATAAAAATTTTTAAATAAATGTTGAGTCTCAAATAATATTTGTGCCATCAAGTTGAGGGAATTTACCGGCACTCTGGTGGCTCACATGGTAAATGAAGTATAATGTGCACTTCCACAACACTAATTCAACACAACACCAGAGTGATATCTTATAACGTGTTATATTTATCAGTCTACTGCACTGAGGGAACACCGTTTTCATTGACTACTCATTTGAAGTCACTTTTCCATGCCGCTTTTTCTGTTAAGCTGTTAAGCAGCTGTCAGTGAAAATTAACACGTCACTTTTCAATTTTAAAGCCTTCCAGGAAACAGAGGCATTATGACATTTGAGCCACAGGAAGGCTGTTAATGTGAAATATCTGCAGGAGGCACTGAGTTTCACTGACAGTAGCCTGACAGTGATCCAAAAACCGCAAAATGGAAGAGACACAGGAAAGCTTCTTCTTAGAATATGATCATATATATGTTAGTTATGTTTTCTTCTTTCACATAAAGTCATGCAGGTGCAGCAAATAAAGCCACCGTTTGAGACTTTGCCGAGTTTTCTTGTTCACTGCCTCTGTTTGGACTCTCATAGTGTGCAGGTTCCTGATACACCCTGACACCCTATTTAATATCAAAGTTCCCAGTTTAGATCGTGCTGTCTGGAAAACAAAAATCATTCTCTGTTGATAAAGCAGATAATCTCACCATGTCAGTTTTGAGTGAATTGAACTTGTTTTCTATACAAAAACAATCAATTCAATATTATTTGAATTTTGTATTGTCATTATTGTTCAAATTTATGTATGTGTACATGTTCCCATGTGTGTATGCTCACCAGAATGTTCTTCGTGGCATCGCGTGAAGGACAGCTCCCTGAAGTTTTGTCTATGATCCACGTGCACAGACACACTCCACTGGCTGCTGTCCTCATACTGGTCAGTTTACCACAATAATGGCAACGATCAACTGCTGACAACTATAAATATTACTAAGACCCTCTTCTGAAATAACAACCATTGACAACAACAGTAGCATCCATCCATTCATTGTCAGCCACTTATCCTGTGTATGCTGGGGGTGCTGGAGCCAATCAATAGCGACTAGCATTTAACAAAAATCTATAATGACAACATAAATACTAATGCTGTAAGGATTGTTTGCTCTGAAAGCTTTTCATTGCCAACGTCTCATGAAGCATAATATTGTTGCTATGGTTACCTCCCTATACCTTGAATGCTGAGATATGGTTTACAATTGACCAGAGTTTGAGGTTTCCTGCAAACAGATGGTACCATTAAGACGGTTTACACAAACCACAGCAGCTATTTTTTAACTTCCTAAATGTCTGTGTGTGTGTGTTTGTATGTATAGTACCCTATGACCATGCTCCAGCTGTTTGTGGGAGACATCTACAGCCTGTTGAACTTCATGAGCTTCCTGCGGTGGCTGTTCATTGGTGTAGTGGTGCTGGGTTTGATCTACCTCCGGTATACAAAACCGGACCTCCCCCGCCCTTTTAAGGTCAGTGTTTCCACACCTGTACACAGATGTAGCTGTACTAAATTCTACCTGAGTCTGTGCTACACTATGAATCAAAATACATGTCACTCACTCACTTTCATTGTATTTCACAGTAATTCTACAAAACTCTGACCACTCCATAAACATGGATGCATATTAGCTTACATATTGTATAAAGGTAGAAATAACAGACCTCACTCCTGACTTGTCTACAGGTCCCGCTCTTCATCCCAGTGGTTTTCTGCCTCACGTGTTTCTTCATGGTCTTCCTGTCTCTGTACTCGGACCCGGTCAACACAGGGATTGGATTTGCCATTTCCCTCACCGGCATCCCCGCCTACTATATTTTCATTTACTTCAACCGCAGACCAAAGTGGCTTCAACAGGCTTTAGGTAAGTTATAACTAACAGTTACGCTGTATCAGGGGTACTCAAACTTTTTCTTTCACGCGCCCCTTTAGAAGCTAAAAAAAGTTCAAGCCAACTCCAGCTAAAGTGGATTTCATTTTTATTGATCATTAACAACAGAGGCGATTGAAATAAAGCAAAAGATTCAGGTTTGCAAATTAGCCTTGCTAGCATCAGAGCCCTTTTTTCCTTTATGTCAACACATGAATCACACTCATGCAACCCCCCAGTTTGAGAACCACAGTCCTATACAGTGGAACTTTAACAGTAATGTCATGAAGCCCATCAGTTTACGATGCAGCCTGTGAAAACAGCTGTATAATGTAATGTGTAATGTAATATCTAATGTGGTTGTAATCTCTGAAACAGATAAAAACATAACCATGATAAATCCATGACATTTTTCTTGAGTTAGGCTTGAGACTTTAAATATTTCAAACCTGTGTTCCAAACTGGGGGCATATACATTAAAATGTAAAGGCATTTAACAGGCATGGAAAGCCTAATGCATGATGCTATTTATGAATCTAAAGATCTAGTGTTTGTTTAATACTAGAGACAGGGTCGAGTCAGGATATCTAGGATATATAGTAAGGGTCACAAGTTTCAAGGTTTTGTTATTATTCTTTCCAATCATTGGCAGCTGAGAAGTGAAAGAAATATGCGTCAAACAGTTACCTTATAGAGTGTATAACACAATAGTATTGGATGGTTTTCTTTGTGTCCTCAGATTCCTTCAACAGGACCTTGCAGATCCTCCTTCAGGTCGTCCCTGCTGAGCAATAACAGCACACAAACACAGTATCACCCCTTTGGTCCCTTCAGATCACACACTGTGCTGAAGAAAGTAAAACTGAAAGTTATAAATGTCTCTGCTGAATGTGAGCTTATATGATGTGTTTTTATCAAAGGATACACTGTCTGTACCAAGTGAAAATAATTTGGTATCTACATGTCATTGTTTCTGTGAACATGTGATTATTTATGTAAAAGTAAATGTCCACTCAACAACCCACACTAACTTTGTCTGTACAGAGCAAGTCACTGCACATGATCTTGTCTTGACTAATGTGATTATATTATATAGTATCTGATTCTTTTGATTGGTGCCACCTTATCACTGTTTCCTGACGTAACCACTAACTGTAATGTGTTATTTATGTAAACTTAGGTCATTTTTTGGGGCATTTAAATATCAAACATTGTAAAACGAGCATACATTGTGATCAATAAACAATGACAACGTTAGGGCGAAGCCAAATGAGTTTTTCTAAAATAAAAAAGCTTTTCTATAGGACACATAGATTTTCAGTTCCCTCAGTCATGATAACGTTGTGGACACAGATGAAACTCTGGGCGAGGAATTTATGATGCCTGTGTAAGAGGAAAATACAAATGATTATGTCTGTATCAATTAAAGGGCTGCAAAAGAAAATTAATCATATATGTAACTTTTGTGAGGAATCAATGCTGAAGGTCACAACACTAGGTCTGACGGCACAATAAATCCAATCAGTGAAATGATCAGACAGGTTGGAAACAAACCTGCATTTTTTTTTTTACTGCTATAAATAGATCTTTGAACAAGAGTACAGCTGATCATTTCAGTTGATTGCTGTGTTTTGTGGTGGATTTGAGGCAGGGCCGGCACTGGCAATGTTGGCGCCCTAGGTGAGATTTTAAATCGGCACCCGCCCCCCCCACAGGCCCAACCTTAAAAGTCCACCTCAGGGGTTGGGGCCATCGCTCCCCTATCCTCAAGAATTGTTTTAAACATTCAGCAGCCAAACTCACAATTTTAGCATGTATAGATGAAAAGCCAAGTCAGTAATCATGGTCAATAATGAATAAGTTTGATCAGCTTACTTGTCAACCTCAACATCATAGCCTAAATTAGGAGACCAAACCTATGCCCCTCCATAAACTGTGAGTCAACTCAGAGATTTCTTGAAATGCAAGAGCACTGGTTTAGTTTCAATAGTGGGAGATGACTCAAATGAACAGGAGGATCTGGGGGTCCTCCCAAAATTTTTTTTTAGAATTGAGGAAAATTTATGCCTTTTCTGCCTCAATTTATGGTGGAAAAGTCTTCATTTATGTAAAGAGGAACACAAAATTCAGGCAGCAGGTGACAATTCAAAAATATAAAAAATGTATAGAATGTAGCATGTGAAATCGAAACCAACTGGCAACACTCAAAACACACATGTTAAGTTCAGCAGCTCCAGTAAAGTGCTGCTCACAGTCCCAAACAGAGCCAAGCTGTGCCTCAGGTTTTAGATGTTTATATGGCAAAACTCTACACAACGACACGACTCACAGCGCGAGCCGTGAGGTGGACTTAATTACTAACGAGTTTATTTGCGCCAAGTCAAAAACCTTCTCCGCACACCGCTACCGGCAATATTTCTCTCCAACGTGCACTCACTGTGCAAAAAACTGGATGAACTTCAGCTTCTGGTGGGGAAAAACAGAGACTTTTATTTATCTTCTGTTCTGTGCTTCACGGAGACTGTGTGAATCAATACTGGACTCTGCGCCACAGCTGGCTGGCTTCTAACTGTACAGAACGGATCATGACACAGAGCTCTCAAACCTGGACTCCATTGTTCCATTGTTAGGGTCCAACCAGAGAGGGGAACACTTTGGATCACTGTTACACCACAGTCAGCAGTGCCTATCACGCCGTCACACGCACTCCACTGGGACACTCTGATCATGTCATGGTCCACCTGATTTAAAACTCTGTAAACCTGTAGTGAGGACATCAAAGAACTGGACCAGTGAAGCTGTAGAGGATCTTCAGGCGTGCTTGGACTGCACTGACTGGGATGTTTTCAGGACTGCTACCAACAATCTGGATGAGTTTACTGATGCTGTGACGTCCTACATCAGCTTCTGTGAGGACAGCTGCATTCCAACACGCACCAGGGTGAGTTATAACAATGACAAACCCTGGTTCACAGCTAAGCTCAGACAGCCGAGGTTGGAAAAAGAGGAGGCGTTTAGGAGTGGAGACCGGGCCAGGTTTAAGGAGTCAAAGTACAGGTTTAGCAAGGCGGTGCGAGATGCTAAACAGCTGTATGCAGAGAGACTACAACACTAGTTCTCAGGGAATGACTCTGCTTCTGTCTGGAGAGGATTCAGACAGATCACCAGCTACAAACCTAAATCCCCCCCCAATCCATGAACGACTCACGCCTGAACGAGCTGAACCAGTTTTACTGTCGCTTTGAAAGACAATGGGACAGACCTGACACCATCCCCCGTCACACCACTGATCGGCCACAGTCCACCATCTCATCCCCCACCTCCTCCCCTTCTCTTACCATCCTAGAGAGGGACGTCAACAGACTGTTCAGGAGGCAGAAACACAGCACATGGACTCCCCAGGAACCTACGCCTGGATCCTGTTTGTGGATTTCAGCTCTGCTTTCAACACCATCATCCCGGCCCTGCTGCAGGACAAGCTCCCCCAGCTGAACGTGCCTGACTCCACCTGCAGGTGGATCGCTGACTTCCTGACAGACAGTCTCTGACTCCAGGACCATCAGCACCGGATCCCCTCAGGGCTGCGTTCTTTCCCCTCTGCTCTTCTCCCTGTACACCAACAGCTGCACCTCCAGTCACCAGTCTGTCAAGCTCCTGAAGTTTGCAGACGACACCACCCTCATTGGGCTCATCTCTGGTGGGGATGAGTCCGCCTACAGGTGGGAGATCGACCATCTGGTGACCTGGTCCAGCCAGAACAGTCTGGAGCTCAACAGTGGAGATGGTCGTGGACTTCAGAAAGAGCACAGCCCCACCCTCCCCCATCATCCTGAGTGACTCCCCAGTCACCACTGTGGACTCCTTCTGCTTCCTGGGCACCATCATCTCCCAGGACCTCAAGTGGGAGCTGAACATCACCTCCCTCACCAAGAAGGCCCAGCAGAGGATGTACTTCCTGACAATGATGGAGCACTTCTACACCGCCATCATTGAGTCCATCCTCACCTCCTCCATCACCATCTGGTACGCTGCTGCCACCACCAGGCACAAGGGCAGGCTGCAGCGTATCATTCGCTCTGCAGAGAAGGTGATTGGCTGCAATCTTCCATCACATCAGGACCTGCACGCCTCCAGGACTCTGAGGCGAGCAGGAAAGATTGCAGCTGACGCCTCCCATCCCAGTCACAAACTGTTTCAGACTCCCCCCTCTGGCAAGAGGCTGTGGTCCATCAGGACCAAAACCTCTCGCCAGCTTCTACCCGTCTGCAGCTAGCCTCATCAACATACAGTGATTTTAGCAAATAAAAGCCTGGGCTATTATTCAAAGTTTTACGGTATAGAATATCAGCTGGAGCTAATAAATGTTAAGGCTGTGAGTGTGGTTTGCTGTTCTGATTGTGTTGCAAGCTGTAAAACAAAAACCACTTCATCAAACTGGGAAAACTGCAGAGATGGTGATAATTCTCTGTGCGTTTGTCACTACAAACAACTTCTTCTCATATTAAACATGCAACTTTAACTCTTTTTTTTTTTTTCAGATTTCTTTCTGGGTTCAGTAAGAAGAGCTCATGTTTTTGGCCCCAGCCAGGTTTAGCATGCAGATGGTCCAGCCCTAATATTAGAACCTTTGCCATTTGATTCAAAAATTATTAGACTTTTCATCACCTCTCTGACCGTATGTTGACTCTCTGCTCCCGTGGTAGTCCACTCATATTTCACATTAGCCAGTCAGACTACATCAGCACCACCCTCTCCCCTCCTGCATCAGCAATGAAGTGGCTTGGCCCTGTGTGGCCTGGTGTGGTTATAGACTCCAAGGGTGTGTGTGTGTGTGTGTGCGTGTGGTGTGCAGTCTGCTGATGTGGTTGCTCTCCATTTCCCCTGGGTGGGATTTGCAGGTAATCTGTCTGTGTAGCCGCTGCCCTGTACACACTGCACAGTGAACTCCCTCTCAGCTCCGTTTCCCGTAAATGGAGGGCTTCTACTGCTGATGAGAGGATGGCAGGATGGAGACAAAATGCCCGGGAGCTTCCACTTTAGCGCTGAGCAACATAAAAGCTGGCTTAAACTCTACTAGCATTAGTCTTTGTGTGAGCAAAGCTAGCTGTGCCAACACTGCAGGCATATGGACCTTTTACCACACTGCTAGCATAGGCTGCCACTGCTCAGGTTGGAGAGTTACTTTAACATGTATTTAAATGACTTCACATGAGCTGTAATTAACACATAAAGGGCAATCCCATTTCATACTGCTTTACATAGAGCGCTTTATACATGCTGACCCCCCTCTCTATCATCACAGTGAAAAACATCACAAAACTTTAAAGGAAACATAGCAATTGATAATTAAACACAATAATCAAATGTTAAAAAAACATAAAAGCAATACAAACATAGGAATATATATATAAAGGGGTCTGCCTGTATGGCTCCATGAGCAGCCATACAGGCAGACAGCAGTACCTACATGTACCAGGATCAGTGCCAGTGCTCCCTCTATTCATCCTGGCATGTGTATCAGCTGGTATCAGCAAGCATTAAGTATAGATTTATGAATTCTACGGTAGGCTGCACCTAACGATTATTCCTCAAATCATTGAATCTCAAGATAATGTTTTTGATATGTCATTTCATCTAATGACAAATTTATTTATGATTATTCTAAAGATTATTCTTTATTACTAGATTAATACCAATTAATTTATCCTATATAAATCACAAACACTCATTAATAATTCAATATGTTATTCAGTCGTCCTGAAAAAAATGACACATGAAGCAAATTAGAAGATTGATAATAGTAGCATATTTTAAAAGTAGTGTAATTTCTGCATCACTAATATAAATAATACAGATGTGTCAGATGCCTGATCAGAAAAATACTGGACCTCCAATTCAAAAGTATTGCTGTGAAAGATGAATTTAAACTCTGTATGTCAGTCCTTTCTGAATAGGTACTTGACTTATGGTTATGATGTGGATTTATTTCATTACTGGAGTAATATACAGTAAGATAATCACTGGCAAATTTATTTTTGCATCAGTGTGGGACAAAGATAATAACTGACATCATTTACAGACTGTACTGACAGTCACAGGCTATAACAATAGTCAATAGTCAACAATAATGTTAGTTTAAAGTGGTCATATTATGCTCATTTTCAGGTTCATCATTTTATTTAGGGGATGTACCAGAACAGGTTAAATAGCTGCAGCTCCTCTTTTCACTCTCTGTGTTGAACGCTTAGTTTTAGCTATGGAGTGATACATCTTACCTCTACAAGATCTTTGTTGGGAGTTGCACATAGCATTACCTAGTTAAGGACTACTAGGCTATCAGAAGCAGAGAGGGTAAACAGCTTCGGTTCAGCTGGATATCCCCTTACCAGCTTAGCAACATGGACTGGAGCAAGAGTTTCAGAGTGGTGAGTTATTAATCTGTAACAAAAGTATCTTTCATCCATAAAGTTTTAACTGAGCTCTGTCTCTACATCACAGGAACAACTTCATGTCCACTGACTGCCTGGAGGGTAGCTAGTGTTTTCCCACCAGTGTTTGTGAGGGTGTGTCTGAGTAGCCCCTAGGCGAACGATATGACGCACATTTCGCTTTGACATCACAGCAAAGCAGAAGAAGAAGGCTGGACTACAAACAAGCTGTTTTCAGGCAGTTCAGAGCAGAGTTTTACAAACGTGGAGTAGCAAACAAACGCTGAAGGGTAACCTTTAGCGTCAAATAATTACGCTTTGTCACACTGTCTGAAAGCCTCGGTAATGATGCACTAAAGATGAGAACGTGTTGTACATGCACAAAAAAAGATATAACTCAATAAAGAGAGAGGGAAAAAACATAATAATTCTCACTCGTATGTGGCCTTACATTAAACAGAAATCATAAATGGACGAATATTAGATGCAGGGTGTAACGAAACGACGGTTGGGTGTGGGGAGACCTAACATCTTGGCAGCAATGTTATGCATGTCGATTTGAGCCGTGGGAGATGTGTGGCAACACAGAGTCCTCAGACAGATGTCCTTACAGATGACAGCCTTTGATGGCTCCTCTTTGAATGTCCTTTGTATGCCGGTCGAAGCTGTGTGAGCCCGAGATATTTGAAGCTGTCAACCATGTCAACCTCTTTCGTTATTGATGAGGATGGGGTGCTGATAATTCTGACATTGAGATAAAGTCGGTTATGCTCACACCACTGCTTGAATTGTGCAACAGTGTTGTGATAGTGCAGAACAGAATTTTTATCTGTGAGAAGATAAGAATGGCAGTGTCGTCAGAGTATCCGAGTCATTGGCATCAAATTCCAATGAAAGTTATAGCTACAGTAGACCACTTAGTCCCCCAGGTGCCCTAAAAGCTCAAAGTTGACAGATGTCAGCACTTGTAGCAGTTGGCACTGTGAGCACTAAAACACATTCAGTTGAATTCTGCAGGTAATTCAAAAAGAGAGACCATACAGCAAAACATCACACTCCATTTCCCAAAAACACATCAACATATTTGAGCTCCTCATTAAAGCCAGAAAATAAGGGGCTGAACACTATTTTTATACTATGACAACTTGTGCTTTTTTTTAAAGAACTGAAGAAACAGGGAACTGTGTAAATAAATGCTTTGATGTTTTTGTCTGATTCATTGTCAAGAGCTGTGACCTTTTTATTTTACCTCCCAGCAACGTCAATGAGATAATTAGAACACCAAAGACTTTAGGTTCCAGGTGCAAGATGAAAAAAATAAAATAAAATAAAAAGTCACTCAACTCGTATGTGTCCTCTCATGTACGGGTGTGTATATGCGTGTGATGAAATAGCTCTATTACCACGCTGTGTCAGCTCGAGGAACATTCATGCTGCTAGCGAGGAGATAACACACATACACACACCAGCACTGATACAGAGAAAATGCCAGGAGCTGGCGTAGAACCAAAGGCTCAGGCTCTCTCTCACACACAAGTGAATAGTGTGAGTCCTGGCTGCAGGCCGAGAGAGACGGGGGGGGGGGGGGGGGGGGGGGGGGGGGGCTGGAAAAGAAAAAAGAGCTGGATTGCATTCTGAGGATGCATCTGAGGAAGCACACAAACCTGCATTCACACTGAAAGTGGGCCAGTGTGTGGTGTGACAGAGGTATCCAACTGAGACACCTCAAAGAGCAGGGGAAAGCATCTGATCAACAATTCAATAAACAGTTTAGCAGAGATTTTGTCTTTCATACAACTTACAGCTTACTTCCATAATGTTGGCCCTCATTCTTACCTGTGATGTAATATTGCACTCACATTGAAAGGATCTGTGAGAACATCGCTAAAGATAACTCAGGTGGGTCTGGAAGCACAAGCAGTCAGACAATCAAACAGGTATTTCTTGGTGCAAACTATTGTTTTAACAAATGCTTTCAAAAAGAGATGGGGGCAAAATCCGCGATTTCAAAGTGTGGTGGGGACATGTCCCCAGCATCCCCAGTGTAAATGACACCTATGCACACACACATCCTCAAAACTTTGGCATTAACGGCGTAGAATTTAGTAGTTTGAATACAATCAATTTTACTTCTTAACTTCATTAAATACAATTATTTGGGAATTGTTTTCTTTTCTGCAATTATTGTACGTAGGGCTTTCCCTCAGAAAGTGGTAGCACCTGAAATGGATGTATTAACACACTATTTTCTGTCTCTTAAGACCTCCTTTTTCTCTGCTGATCCAGAAACTGAATTTAGTAGGGATGGTAGCAGAGACTACTGAATTGTCCCTAGCAATAATTTTGATCAACACAATTAAAGATAACGCTGTTTTCTATCAGCATATATTCAAACAGTTCAGAACTATGTTCTCGCATTTAGGTTTTGAAAGATTATGCCCTCAGCGACTATTTCTAAAAATCTCCTGCTGCTACAAAAACGACAACCTGCAGTATGATCCTTGACTGTTGATGACCTGTGTTTTGTTGCCAATAAAATGCTCTGATTCCAGCGTGTGGGTATCTGTTGTGGTTAAAAGAAACCACTGTTAACTCTTTTTAGAAGACAGGAACCAACAGCTGTCTCCTCATTCTCCTCATCACACTTTGCTTTAGGTTTTGCATCTCTATAACAACATCATGCCTTTGGTCTTGACAAATAAGAGTTATAATTCAGTTGACTGCTAGGGATCTGCCAGTTAACAGTAAACGTGTGTTATTTTTAGGCATTTTGCAGTGAGAGATTACTAGCGATACTTCAGAAGTGTTACTTTTTGTTTGTGGTTGTGATTAGCTTGATAAACTGCTGGTTTGTTTAGAACTTGTCAGATCATCGGACTGCTCTTGTCTCTTGCCCTATTTGACTTTCAACAAACCTTTCTAAATTTCAGCTGTTGAAAAGAAAATAGTCATTGGATCTAATTGTGTAAAACACTTACATGGTCAATTTAGTGCATGTGCCACACATTTGAAAGATGGATGAAATAATAAAATGTAATTGTTAGCTCAGAGGCAGCCAGCAGAGGGCAAAGTCAGCCACCAGCAAACAACAGGTCTCACCCAGTCAAGATTTTAGAATAAAACTGAAGGGGAATAAGCTAGCTTGTGTAAAAGCAAAACAAACTCCCTCAAATTCCCCATGCATAAGGGCAAAACAAAGCTCTTAAACAAACAGACATGTTTACTGTTAACTGACACAGATCCCTAGCAGTCATGTAAAAAAAAAAAAAAAAAAAAAATGTCAATGTCAGCCAGGGGACCACATTGTCCAAACACACACACAAACACATAGTTTCTCCCATTGTCCTGAGAGAACACATGTTGTGTTGCAGTTCCCCGGGCAGGCACATGGGGTTGCTGTAGTGCTTCATAAAGCTGCTATTTAAATGACTGTTTAAAGCACAGAACAGTGCTGAACAATCAGGTACACTACCTCAAACAATATACAAACACAAGAACAGATATTATTGAGTTTTTGTAAATCATTTAGAGGCATCAGGCTTTTATATGGATGTAACAATGATTGGAAAGAATGAGAAAATGACACATTCAAAAACTGACTTTCACACATTGAAACCTCATCTATTATCAAATTAGCAATAGCATGAAAAAACATATCTAACAATGAGACTTTTCCTTTCTCAAAGTCAAACAACACTTCAGAAATGTGTTTCAAACTGTCGCAGTGCTGACAGGAAGTTTCACTCCAACATACAATAGAAGAATGTTTCATTGATTCAACAGCGCACATCTTCACACTGACAGAAAAGGCTCCAATGCATCTATTAAACCAAGGTTAGTAAATATTTGAGAGATGGATTCTTTTGAATTCAAGGATAACACTAAGAAAGAGAGAATGGCTGAAAGAGATATTCATAGCTCGTGTCTTTATCTTGTAGTTTCTCCTCATTCTCTTCCTATCTCTCTCTAGCAGCACACACTTTATCCAGTCAGTTGTCTTTATGGTGATTTAGATACAGTACAGACAGAATCTTTACTAACTCAGTTAACATTTATTCACCGCTTTTATTAACCCTTTAACATCCAGTTCACCCCCCGCCCCATTTTATTTACTTTTAAGTAGCCAGGGCTGTAGATTTAATCCAGTTCAATTAAAATTAAATAATTAAATCTTCATTACCACAACATGTGAACAAGTGGAGGGAAATGGAATATCAACACATATAAAAACTTGTACTGAATAAGGTAGTATATATCCCCATCACATATAGCATCGTAAACAAGGTAGTACTGGAAAAATAAAAATAAATTAAAAAAAAGTGACTACTGAATGGGGCACCACTCTTAAAGAGAAAATCGTTAGAAAATTACCTACTTTATTCTCATAAAATATATTTAACTATCAAACTGGAACTCAGATTACTAACTATAACCAAATGCACCATCAATAGCTAGCAGGATTTAGAGTTCTACATAGAGGAGGTTGGCGATTTATTCACCCACTCTTCCCATTCCCAAGCAAGGCCAGAACACAGGAAATACAATTTAGCAGTTTTTATTTGCTTCAGAGATGAGCCGTGCCCAAAACATAAGAACCTAAAACTTTCCTAACCCAAAAACAAAAGTAAATAAAAGACAAAGCTCTAAACTAGACTTCTATTATCAAATACAGGAGAAAGATGGTGCAAACAAAAAGGGCTTCAAAACTCCTACTAAACTGCTAATACCTCACAAAACACAGCTCCAACAAAGACAATCTGTGTAACAAACAAAATGGCGAAAGCAACAAAACAAGGTTGTCAACGACAATAATCAGAATTCCAAAGCTAAGCTATTCAAAGTTCAATGTGTTCACTACACAGGTTCACTTAAAAAGTCTCGTATGGTCACAACAGTTCTCTACTCACAACTAACACAGATATAACACACAGTACACAGGCTCAGGTTGGGAATGGCAGAGAGAGAGGGGAGTTCCTGTCAGTGGGGTTTAAGATGGCTGCTGTCATACAGTTGACCAATCAGGAGGTAGCAATCAGCTCTGCAGGACCAATCCAGTGTGCCCACCTGTTCTCCATTACCTGCACACACTAAGGGAGGAGAACAGCTGATAGTACAGGATAAGAGATAAATACATACAAAATATGACCCCAGGGTCATAACATCACTGTTTTGCAAAATAAAAAAAAAAAATAAAAAAACAGCATGTAGAAACAAAAGCAAAGTGTGTGTGCGCACCTAACAGAAAGAATGTGCATTTGTTTCTGTAATCTGCACTGTATGATGGGATGAAGAGAATGTTGAATACCTGGATGTGATGAGGAGTGGACTCTGATGAACTCAACCCGGGCACTGGATACGATTAACTAGAGGTAAATGTCATTTCACACTGAAATTAAAGTTTGCCAGAATTAAAGTTTGACAGCAGTAGTATGATCGGCTGATTGAGATCATGGCAAAATCTGGTTGGTTTAACTAGAACTGCTCATAGTTTAATAAGGAGAGACTTGACTGAGTGAATGATAATCATTTGACATGCAATACAATGAATATGAAAGATGTGAAAAGTCTCACCCCATTGCGATGACGTGGTATTTAAAGGGGTTGGTGAAGCCGTAGTGATGTAGAGACCCCCCGATGGGGTTTAGACACTGGTGGTGGTGATGAAGAGATGAAGGAAATGCTCTGGATCTGATGAGCAGGAGGTGGTGTGGAGAGGGCTGTGGCGATTTGTACGGAAGTGACAGCAGAGGAGAGAACACAAAGTTAAAGTTTGATAGTGACTACATGATTGGCTGCGCTGATCGTGGCAAAATCTGAGTGGAAAAGAGAGAACGCCCAAGGTCAGCTGCTAGAAGGCAGGAAGACAGAGTGTATGAGAGAGCGAAAGAGGTGAATGAATGAAGCATAAAGATTCCTGCTTGAACTTACGCTGAGTTTCATGTCTGAATCATGTGCAGCAGACGACGAGCTAAGAAGCATGGTTGGATAAAATAATGAGGAATGATGGCAAGCGAACGTGAAACAGGAGCTACTCAGGACCCAGGAACTCACATATATACTGTAGAAAGATTGATTAATATTGAATATATTACATTTGTGAAAGAATTTTCAATCAACGGTTGCTCAGACCGGTAGAGTCATGTGATGCAGAGAAGACGTATTGCCTGAGTATACTTCAGTGGGAACAGTCTGCTGGTAATGGCACACTTAATCATTAATTTAGTACACACTGCAGTTCATACAGACTCAATACGTAGTGCATCAGTATGCAATTTCGAACACGAGTGTGAGGTATTGGAACGGAATGCCTGAGGGCAGGGTCAAAGGTCATCTGTAACAAACAGCTAGTTAAATATTAGTGAGAGGGTCAAAACTACAAAGAATGATTGTTTTCATGAGCTTGTGTGAGTTTGCCATACTAGGGCTGTGACTCAACTCAGTGAGAGGGGGGGGGGGGTGAGTCCTGCAGCAAACTGTGACTAATGGGGTGTGTGTGTTTGTGTGTGGTGGACCTTGAGGTTCTAGGGTTGTCCCCATTAACAGGAAGAAGCAAACCCCCCCAAGGTGAGAAAGGTCTACCCACAGGGTTACTCATGCCCCAAATGGATGTGACAAGACTGTGTGTTATTACCTTCTTCTGAGCATAGATGGATGAATGGATGCACGTTCTGAAGAACTTTGGAAACTCTTTGTTTCTGCTTATAAATGTGTAGGAGAGGAGGCAGAGCGGCCTGAGGCTGCTGCTGTCAGACAGGCTGACTGACACACACGCACACGCATGCACACACACACACACACACACACACACAGAGTGTCTGATACAGCGCTGTGAGTGTGACTCAGGTCTAGTGAGCAATACTCCACACAGGAGTTGGGTAGTGAGGACGGCTAATGAGACAAAGCCACTAATTCAAAGTGACCACAGCCCGGCTCCAGAGCAACTGCCATCATTACTTCTGATTAACAGACAAAAATGGAAAATTACAAAAACACACATGATGTCGGTATGTTTTTTCCTTCTACTATCCGATTCCGATCTACTTTTTAAAGAGATTCATTATAAATGTTTAATATTTAAAAATGTGTAAAAAAAAAAAAATTGAGAAAATAACCCCAATTTATGTCATCAGGGTTATCACAGACCTTTTTGTCAGAAAGGTTCTAATCCAAACAGGAGGAACATAATAAACCCAGGATATCTGTTCTGGCCTCTGTTGCTCTGACGTTCATTTGTCCCCCAACCTGATGGAAGTGCTGTACTAAATCCCTGTAGTAATCCTTGAAGAATCTACAGACACTATGTTATAACATTAGCATGCTAACATGCTCACAGTGAGAATGTTAGCAGGTACTGTTTACCATGTTAACCATCTTAGTGTGTTGGCATGCTGTAGTGAGCTCGATAGGTCAGTTTCTCCCAGACATTTCATCAATCTGCAGAACTGGCTTTTTCATCTCAATATGAGGGCTGTGAATTAACCCATTTCTTAAATCTCCTCCAGATCAGACACTTACCAGACAAGACACATACGCTTTCACCTCTGAGAAATATATGTCTTGTCAAGATAATGCAGCAACATGTTAAGACAAAGAAATCACTCTTGATTATTCAGCTGGTGATAAGAGACTGAACACACATCCGTTTCTCCTTCTCCCCCTGTCTCACACATACACACACCTGCTCAGCAATCTGTTGCCTCCAGAGCCGCCTAGGAGTGTAACCTGCAGCTGGGTTCCTTCACGGCTGAGCCCTAAATTACAGACAGCATGGCCTTCACCTCCCGCTGCGGCGGCAGACTCAACACTGCACAACAATTTTGGAAGTCAGCTGAAATGGTCTCCTCTCTGCAACGACCCTTTTGTGATAAGAGTTGATGGGGAATATGAAATTCCCTTTAGGGAAGTTGATCGCCCCAAGCTACTCACTGTTTGTTTTGATTACTAAATCACGTTTCACAAGGGCGGCTCCCTTACATCTACCCACCCAGCTACCCGACCAGCGCCTCTAATATCAGAGCCAGTCGCTTTATATATTTACCTGAAAAAAAAAAACAACAAAAAAAACGTGTAAGTGAATAAAATAATGAAAAATCAATAACATGAAGATACAATGTACTATGGGGGTTCATTCTTTGCTTCTATTTTTTCTACAAATGTCAAGAAAGCCTGCCAAATAGCAAAACTTCAAAACAGACCCTACTCCCAACTCTGGTCTAATTTTCAACAGTCTAACCTTCGACCAGTGAAGCTGATGTATTAAATTGTACAACAACATGTCGTCGGCAAATGGATGTTGACTAAATCCTTCTGATGATCTTCTGACAGGTTGCACCTGGAATTTGTTAATGTCCTCTTCCCATTTGTTTTTGCAGACAGTCTAAAGTGAAGGTTATATTAAAATATATAAGTTATATATTGGTTTAAAATATTTCCTTTGTCACGGTTTGTCGTGTGTGCAGGCAGGAACAGGTATTAGGACCCAAATGCAGGACAAGCAGGCAGGACAGATACAGTCTCTTAGAATTTATTAAACTCAAGGAGGAACTAAACTTACAGCAGAGTCCAAACCAAGGTCATCAACAGAGCAGCAAAAACACAGTCCATAAACAAATGATCCAGGGGAAGACAGAACAAAAGGATAATCCAACAAACAAAGTAGCAGAGGCAGGCAAGCAGGACACACAGCAGTGGATGAACATACAACAAACCAGCAACAGCTGAACAGAAGTCACACACATTTAAGCACTGGCTAACGAGGAGGGCGGGAGCACAAACAGGTGATACTAATAAAGACAGCAGACAGGCAGGCAGAGAGACAGCAGGGGAAAACAGATAGATACAAGTTTCAAAACACAAGGCAGGAATCTAACTGGAACTCAAAACACATACTAAATAACAGATACTGAACAGACCAATAAACAAAACTCACAGAGACCTAAACTAAACCGGGCCGATCAGAGTGTGAAGCAATAAAAATTCAGCAATTTAAAATATGTAAAAAATTGGATTCTAGGGATACAAAATCTGTTTACTAGTTACCCAAAAGACGCCAAAGAAGTTATTGTCTCTGTAGACGTCCTGCAATGAGATGCTCCCATTCTTTAGACAGACATCTAAGGTTCCATCCAATCATGTGTTTTTTAACTATTGGAGCTATTCATTAATTTGGCTTATTTAGTTTCCTTCGATTGAAGGTGGTACCCCAAACTTAACAAGCTAGATTAGCCTTTTAAAGTAGTTATATCACTACAAGGCTAAAATTTGCTGAATAGCTTATTGTTTTATGACACAGGGCTGACACACTTGGGAGTTGATGAGCTGTAGAATATTTTTACACACAAACTGTAGCTTAAAGTGTACATTCACTGCTATGTTCACATCTCACTGCTAACCCTACTCTGCACTTGCCTGCTCTGGGTGCAGCCAGACCATCACTTGCTCTCGCCCTCATTTCAGCCTCTGTCTCAAACAAGCTGTAGAAAACTCAAAATTTACTTGGTTTCATGTGGGACTTGAACAACGTCTCCTTAATGTAAGTCCATGGTTTGACACTGTTGCGTTTATAATTTTGTTTAGTGTATAATACGTCACCTGACTTCCTCCCTTGCTACTGTTGGACGGCCACTATAGGTTGCTGCCACAATAAACGTAAATATGGCTTGGGTTGTAGTGTGCAGCACAAATAACCTATATCAGTGGTCGGCAATAGGCGACTCAATACTTTGAAAAGTTCTGAAGGACATTCAAAAGAGTCTCTGACCTGCTTGACACACCTCTGAAAAAGCTGTCAGTAAACTGTGGTTGGATTCCCCTGAATTTCCTCAGAGAACCGACTGAGCTAAACGTACACATAGTTGTTTAAGGGTTTGAAATAATTTGACTCTGTTCTGGCCATGTAACGGCTTGAAAGAAATTTGGCCCGATGCCAGACTTCTTTGCCGACCCCTGACCCACATAGTTGTTTTTTTGGTATGGACAGAGTTGACTATGCATACATACTGCAATAAGCTATTTCTGAAAACAACTATGCAAATTTTATAACATGTAGTTTAAATTACCTGATGTCATGGGAATTACTGTATGTGTTACATTTTATTTAACATGAATGTACAAATGTAGCACACGTCATAACAATGCATCCCATAGTTGTCAACCTGCTGGTGGCTCTAGAGGAAAAGTGGATCACCAAAGTCATTATGATTCATCATCTTGGACCCATGAATGTCCAAAACTTTAATCCAGCCATCAGTTTATGGGATATTTTAGTACGGACCAGCAGGTTGGACCGACTGATCAACCATCATTGCATCATTCTTTGAACCATGTGGCAAGCATGGCATGACATTTATTTTGAGTATAATAAGCAAGCATTCAAGGGTTCATTTAGTAGCTTTTTCCGAAATAATAGATGGTGCAATAAAATCTGATGGCATTAAGAACTTATCAATCATTTTTTGGTGAATCTGCTTTATAAGTCGAGTTTGATGTCTGTGTTCTCTGCCTGTTGTTATCAACAAATTACATTATGTATCATAATCTAATCATGCCGTGGTGTAGGATATCACCACCACACAGCATCAGCCAGTCAACTGTTACACACACTCTATCAGGTGTTTTCATTCTCAAATACACAGTAACTGCTGGAGCTGCTTGTTGCCTGGCAAAGTGATTTTTTTTCTACAAACACCCTCTGACCAGCCTCTCCATTGGCTGTACGAGTCCCACATAGGACTCATTGTTGCCATAGTGTTGCTCCATTGGTGCAGACAAGGTGGGATGCAAGTGACAGAGGAGAGGAACAGGAGGTGAGAAAGAAACAAAGATGGAGATTAAGATGGAAAGAGAGAGGCAACATTTCTGTCCACACTGCAATCACAATGAGATTCAATAGACAACATGCATTATTTCTGAAAGTTTGAATAATCTTTGGCAAATGTGTCTTACCTCTATGTTCCCTCATTTAACAATATAGGTACACTGGGTGCTATGATGACAGGTCAAAGAAAAGTGGTATATTACTGATTAGGCTGGACTGAGGAAAAAAATTGTACACACAGATTGAGGTAATTTGCATGAGTCTCGCGAGACAGCTTTTGATGCAGGTGTGCCAATGCAGATCTAGTGGCATGAGCTCTCGTCACACCCCCACTGCTTATGGTTGGCATTTTTTCAACTATAGACACTGAACGTATTTACATTCAGTAATCTCTTTATATAGTCATTTTAATTGTTGGTGTCAGGGTCACCATTCCCACCCCAGATTCAGATTGCCTTCATACGCATGGATGGTGTCCTTCAGTCGCATGGATGAATAAATGACAACACTCATACAGCATGTGAGCAAAGAAATAAAACGAGTCCCAGCTTAACGTTGTTCAGTGCGTGTACATGTCAGATATCAAAAAAAGGCAGCAGAATTCAATTTGTAATTACATTAAAGGGGCATTATGGAGTTTCCAGCGGCCACTAGCAGTGCAGTTCTAAGATTGCAACCAGGTGTGTGCTCATACGCGTGCTCGCTTGAACTCATGAGCGAGCAGAATCCGAAACACAACCACTTTCATACAGAGATCCCACAATAAACGCAGGAACACCAGCATGCCGGCTGTGGCTTTTCACTCAGACATGTTCAGGCTCTGTTACTTCAACGTTACCGTCTCAGAGACAGATCAACACCGGCTCCATACCTTTCATTCAGCGCAGTGACAGCGGCCAACTGACAGACAGAGCTGGAAACTCAGGTAAACTCCCACTGCAACATTATAGTAATACTTTTATCAACTGTAGGTTGAACTAATTCATGCTCATACATGATAACGTTACATTTACTGCATTTAGCCAATGTGCTACATCGTTAGCTCGCCTGCTGCTTTTCAGTAACGTTAACCATCTTTACTATCTGTGAATCTGTCACCGGAGGCTCAGCAATGTCAGCACAGCTACATGTATTGGATGATAATGAAATGGTTACGTAAGTAACTTTACTGTAACTAGTGTTAGTGGATGGCTGTTCTTCTGTGTTGTTGTGATTGTTTGTTGCAGTGTTTTATGTTATGTTGGTCACGTTAGTTACAGGTGGAGGTGAAGAAGCTGTGTACCTGAGTATAAACGTAAACAATAAACATAAGCTGAATGTTACGAAGCAAACAGCGGCAGGCCCGAGCTACTGTAGCGTTAGCTGGCTGATCCTGGCTGCATCACTATAGACTATAGGTTAGTAAACAAATCGCTCCACATTTGCTTTTGGCCGTTACATCCTTTCTTGCAGGCTAAATCAACAGTGGTACCAACACATTCTCATCTCAGTGCGTCATAACTGACGCTTTCAGACAGCGTGACAAAGCGTAAGGATTTTACGCTAAAGGTACCCTTCAGCGTCCGTATGAAACATAGAGACGGAAGCAACGTAGTTATTTATAAACACATTTTGTCACTTTTTCTGAGAGCGTTGGTATTGGACGCCCTGAGATGAGAACGGGCTGGTGGTACACAGGATAGTAACATGGGTGGCGTTCGTTGGTGAAGTAATGTGGAAAGCTAACGTTATATAACTTTGCACCGGATAACAATAGCAACTGACCGGCATTAGCCGGCGAGCTAACGTGACTTTCTCTGTGTTTCTCCAGCTTTACTAATGCTCACTTTGTTCTTACTCGACATCATCTGAACCTGTTTGGTCTGATGGGCTTCAGCACATAAACCTTTATTGTTGTTTTGTGTCCTTACTTGGAGCCTGTGTTTTGCTGGGAGCCGGTTGTTTTTATGGTGTTAGTGGACTGCATGTCGTTAGCTGCTGTGTTGTCGCTGTAGCACGAGAGAGGCTCGGGAGCGCGCACAGGGCTGAATCTGACCCGGAGACCTCACATTTAAAGCAGAATAGTGGCTGATGCAAGCAAGAGAGAAAACAAGTGTGTGCTTCATTTCTAAGTGAGTTTTGAGCAACCATTGACAATAAGGCAATGACAATTTGAATGAAAAACTTACATATAGCCCCTTTAAATGATTAAACTGATGTAAAAATGTATCAGTGGATTCACTGTAAGAAGCGGAGGGTGAGCGACCCGCATGCTAATGATGGTCATTAAAGCTACAACGGCAAAATCAGTGTTAAATCCATCAGTGATGCAGCCTGAGAGAGAACAGTCTTCTTCCTTATTCTAACATTTTTAACTCACCACTGCTCACTCTGTCTGCTTTTGTCACTCTCCTATGGCTCTCTCTCCGTCTCTATCACACCAGGTGACAAGTATCGCCCGAATGTTGTGCCCATAGAGGTGCTGTCATGTCTGAATGAAGATGTAAGGAATATTAACATAAAAGACAACTATGTCTGAATGAAAAAAGATAGAGGAAGCCAGTAATGTCTGAGAGGGCTTATGTTTAGATGCGTCGATATACCACATCACGGTGGAAGACGGGAGGTGGATGATTCATAATATCAGGGAGGCTCAATCACAGGCTGAGGTGAACACATTCACCTGAATTAGACCTTAATAACAGTTACACTGTGTTAGTGATGCAGCCACTGTCCCCACGGAGCTGCTCTGTTTCTGACTTTTATTTGCATTCACTTTGCTAAAGGAATATACAATCACATGGCATGTGTGAAGCAACAAGACTTCAAACGGCTGAGGACAACAACAACACATACTAACCACCTAAAAGCTAGAGGAGGAACTCATCAAATTATATGACATTTCTCTTCTCATAAAAGTAAATTTGTGTCACCATGGCAACTGCAGACAGAAATGGGAGGCAATCATTTGAGCGAGCAGGAGGGAGCGAGGCCTGCATTGCTTTCAG